CCCCCCCCCCCCCCCCCCCCTTCTCCACTCTCTCCCTTCCTCCTGCCCCTCCCCACTGCACAAGCTTTGCCTCTTTTTCTTTCTCCACCTTACCCACCCTGAATAAACCTCTTCTTGCTCCCATCCCGCCGGCTCTCAGAGTGACCTTCCTCAAGTCCGTCCCTGACCAGGCCATTCCTCAAATCCCAGGACCTTCAGCCCCATCGAGCCCAGACTCCCCTCCCCTGGCACTTGTTGGCCCCAACCCAGCTTCCCAAGTTCACTTCCCTACACGTGGTCTCCATTCCGTCCAGACTCGACTATGGCAGTCCTCTCCTGCCTCCACGCCTTTGCTATGCCCAGTCGGCCTGCTGGATTCCCACCAACCGTCATTACTAAGCACCTACTATCCAGAGGTTCTCAGGCCGAGCGTCCCCGAATCCAAAGAGGGCAAGAGCGTCCGAGGAGGACTCGTACGTGCGTACGTGCATACGGCCAGATCCGAGCACACAATGCAGACACAAGCTCACCAGGGGGAGAGGCACCAGAGGCTGGGGGTGGGAGCTGGAGCGAGGTGGCGCCTGAGCCGAGGGGTCCCCGAGGCTGGCTGGGATGAAACCCTCTGAGACCAGAATGTGGCCCTGGACGGGCCTACTATTCAGAAGAAGCAGGACCCCTTCGATCTCTCGGGTCCCTCCCAAATCCAAACCCCACGAGCCCAAGGCGGCCCCCTGCCACTATCCTTCGGGGCCCCCACGACAGAGTTTCAGCGCTGGAGACTTTGGCACCAGGCCGCCCCCCAGCCTCGGGCCAGCCGACCCACCGAGGCCCGCCGAACCTCGGCCTCCTGAGGTGCACAGTGGGGCTCTCGCCGTCCCCTCCTCCTCGTGATGCGGGACCCGAGGTCAAGTGAAACCAAAGTCACACAGAGAACAGAGACCACGCCCTACCTCGCTGAGCTCGTGTTGCCTCTGCATCTTCTCTTCAAAGCCCGACTTCATCTGCGTGAGCAGCTCATACTAAGGAAGAGCAAAAAAAAGCACGTTGGCCCTTTTCCGGTCCCGTCCTCATCGCGCTCTTCGTGAAAATCAACGCACTGACCTTGTCGAGGACCGTCTGCCTTTTGGCTTCCAGGCTGGGCTCTAAAAGGAGATTTCTCCCTGCAAAATCAAGCCAGTGTTCAAGCCAGCATCAAGCGCACCCCTCGGGAAGCCACGTGCAGGGGAGGCCAGACTCACGGGCAAGGTCCTCGATGCTCCTGACCAGGTCATCCTTGTCGGTGAGGACCTGCTTCAGCTGGGGCAGAGTCGAGAACTGCTGGAGGAGCGCGGCCTCTTGCTCGTTCATGTCCGTCAGCTGCGACAGGCTGGGCGCACACAGGGAGACCACGGGTGAGCACGCCGGCCGCTGCTCCTTCCCCCGCCGGCACCCGCCCCTCCCCTCTCTCCAGGGGCCCACCCTTCCCTGGGCCCTTTAAGGCGCCGCCCCCTCCTGCTTCTCCCCCCTAGCCACTCTTGCATCTCTTCTGCTCCCCAACCACAGGGGTCCCCCGAGGCTCCACGGATTCCACCAAGATCTCTACACGGCCACAGCCAGGCCCAGTCTCTCTCCCAAACTCTAGCCCCACATCGCCAAATGCTCTTGGAGTCCCATAGCCACCTCAAACACAACGTGCCCAGAGCAGACTCCATCTTCCTGTCATTGGCAGTAATGAGTAGCCCATGTCACCGACTGTCCCGTGTCTACCAAGGGCATCACCTTCCTTCTGGCCAGGCAGGTGGACGACCTTTAAGTGATTCTCGCCAGCCTTCCTCAAAACTCTCCCCTACAAAGCGATCTTCCCCTCCCAATGCTCAAGCCCAAGAGGCTTTCTGTTATGATGAGGACCATCCGTTCGGCGGAGAAGGGCCCTCTCGACCCAGCCTCTCCCCTACACCTCCAGAGCTCTCCTCAGACTTTATTCTCCTTCAGGCGCCCTGAGGTCGGGCCACACCGGCCTTCTCGTCTTACCCAACCCTGACTCCTGGGGTGGTGCGGTGGAAGCAAGGCTGGTCTGGGAATCAAACGGTTCACATTCCAATCCTCCCTTTGATGGCCACCCAGTGTCACCACGGCAACGCGGAAGCCGGCAAACCCAGCAGAGCAGGAGGAAGCAGCCCAGCCCAGCCCTCTACAGAGAGGTCTCCAAGAAAGACCAAGGGATCAGAGAATCCAAGAACAAGCAAGAATGAGTCATTTTCCTAGCCCGGGTCAGCCAAGGCAAAGAGCCAGTAGGAAATGCCGCCTCAGGAGTCAAGAGAAAGATGAAAAGGAAAAGATACTGGAGCACTTGGAAGGGCCCACACCACAGCGCATCCCCTCAGAGCCCTGGTGTCACTGAGGACTGTGGAAAGAGACCTAGTGAGACAGAGGCACTGGGAGTGGGAGAAAGAACTGGGGAGGAAAACACTTACCATGTGGTTGTAATCAAGACACGTGAGAAAACTACGGCCCCTGAGCCCCTCTCCTTCCCCTGGAAATCCATTCGACTCCAAATAGACACATGTGGGAGCGGGGAAGTGGAGGAGAGGAAGGTGCAGGGAGGGACTGGTCATAAAGAAAAGAAACCCCAACGTCGCAAGGGTAGAGGTTAGGAAAGTGAGGGTGAGGGTAGGACCAGGGGACGGACAGAAGCACATTCACCATCCTCTTCTCTTTTAAAAAAGGCAGGAAGTAGAGGGGAAACAAAGAGAAGAGTTCTAATGAAACCATAAGCCTGTCATTTTGCTGAATTATATGCCCACAAAACTGATACCACATTTACACCATTTACCAAGATAAGGTCAAAATATATACATGACCTAGATATCCAAAGAGAGGGAGATACCCTAAGAAAACAAAAAGAACACGGAACACTTCACACCTCAGACTTACGGATAGGAAAAGAATTTATGAATAAACAAGAGACAGACCATCAGGAGATGTAAAATGGGTAATTCTGATTCCATAAAGAGGTTTTACACAAATAAAACCAATGTAGCCAGGATTATAAGGAATGCAGAAAATTGGGGAAAAAATTTATAGACAGTTTCTCAGACAAAGTTCTCATATCTCAAATATACAGAGAACTTTGCCAGATTTAGAAGAATATAGTCATTCCCCAATCGATAAATGGCCAAAGGATATGAACAGGCAGTTTTTCAATGAGGAAATTAAAAAATACAGTTACATGAAAAACCGCTCTAAATGATTAGAGATATGCAAATTAAAACAACTTTGGGATATTTTTTCACACCTATTAGATTGGCTAAAATAATAGAAGGGGAAAATGACAAATGCTGGAAGGGATATAGAAAAATCAAGACATTATCGCGCCGTTGGTGGAACTGTGAACTGATCCCACCATTCTGGAGAGTAATCTGGAAGTAGGCCCAAAGAGTTATAAAGCTCTGACCCAGCAACACCACCATTAGGTCTGCTTTCCAAGGTGATCAGGGAAAAAGATCTTCATGTTTTAAATTATTTAGAGCAACTCCCTTTGTGGTGGCAAAGAACTGGAAATTGGGGGGATGCCCATCTATCGGGGAATGGCTGAACAGGTTGTGGTGTGTGATCTTGAGGGAGGACTACTGAGATGCACGAAGTGGTGAACTAGTTGGTTTTAGAAAAAACATGGAAAAACGTGAAATAACGAAAAGTGAAGTGAGCAGAACAAGAGTGTTGTATATGGTAACAGCAACGCTGTTGAAGATTAATTGGAACTAACTCAGTTATTTTGAGTATGACAGATACTCAAATCAACTATGAAGGACCTGTGGTGGAGGATGCCATCCAACTTCAGAGAAAGAAATGATAACAAGAGAAGTACATGCAGTGTGGCTTTACAAAGATTTGTAAATCTGCATCAAACAGTGACCTTCTCGAGTGCAGGGGGAGAGGAAGGACGGAGGGAAGAAGGGAGGCAGATAGCTTGGAATTTAAAACATAGCAAAAAAAAAATTGAATTAAAAAACAAAAACAAAATCCAATACCATAAACTAAATGGATGAATAAATTTATAAAAGAATAAAATGGCCAAATTAACAGAACAAAAAATTAAAAATTTAGTCCAATCAGAGGAGAAGAAAGTGAAGAAGACATAAATTAACTAGCAAAGAAAAGCCCCTAGGACCAGATGGGCTTATAGGCAAATTTGAACAAATGATCAAAGAAAAATTAATTCTACTGTTACATAAACTGTTTGCAAAACTCCTAACAAATTCCTTTTTGATAAAAATATGGTCCTGCTTCCTAAATAAGAGAGAGACCAAAAAAGAAAACCACCAGGTTGGAGTTATACCAGGAATGCAGGGCTGGTTCAATACGAAGAAAATTCTAAATGGTAAAATAATGATTTTATTAAGAGACACAGAAAAGTCTTCTGATAAAAAAAAAAAGCATAAATTTCTGTAAACACACACATTAACATTAATGCATGAAAGCAACTTTTCCATAACATGGTAAATTGTATCTAGCTAAAACTCAGAGCCAGCATTCTGTGTAAGTGGGCCTACATACATAAACTCCAGACTTTTCTAGGAGGCTCAAAGAAAAAGCAAAGATGTCCACTGTCCATTATTTGATACAGAGCTAGACATGCTGGCTAGAGCAATGATGGATCCGCGCTGTGGACAGAATGCTAGGCCTGGAGTCAGAAAGGCCCGAGTTCCAAACTGGCCTAGCTGTGTGACCTTGGACAAGTCACATAACTACTATGTGCCTCACTTTCCTCATCTATAAAATGAGGATGTGATATACAAGTACCCTTGTCGGGTACTTGTGAGAATCAAGTGAGATAATCATTGTAAAGTGCTCACTTAGCACAGAGCCTGGCACATTGTAAGTGTGATATAAATGTTAACGATTACTATTACAAAGAAAAGAAAAAGAAATGGAGGAAATAAGCACAGAAAAGGGGAATCAAAATTAGTGTTTGTTTTTTTTTTGCAGAACAAAAATTTCCACAAAGTTGAAGTGTATGAAATAAACAAAAACCATCAGCATTTTTGCACATCACCAACACACTACGCCACGCAAAATCGATGGGCATCTACCAGAATCTATACAAAAGCCCAAGATGTACTTTGTGGAAATAAAGTCACACGTAAATGATGCAATGTAAACTGGCCTGAGCCGATGAGAAAAATGCCATGCTGAATTAACTCCGGCATCCAGAGCCATTCCAATCAAACCACCAAAGAGTTCCTTTAAAGAGGGACGGAGAACGGCAACACAATGCAGCCAAAGAGAAGGAAGCCAGCAGGACTCAGTCTCCAGCCCACCACAAAGCCGCAATCACACCCGAGTCCCAGGACGCTGGTCAACGACAGGGTGACCGCAGGACAGATCGCGTAGAGACCTGGCAGCAGGCAGTGGCCCAGCGTGTGATGAAGCCTCCAGCGGGGAGGCCCCCGCCCCTCCTGCGCCCTGGCTCGGGGATGCGCTCCCCCTCCAGGTGCCTGCCCGATCACCCCCTAATCACCGCCAGGGCTTGGCGACAACGGACTTGCTACCCCCTGCCTAACTGTCCCCCTCTTTACGTCCTCCTCGTGGTTCCTTCACGTCTCAGGAAAGCCGCAGCTTCCACAAGAGCCCTTCTGGGCCCCTTAATGCGAGAGGCCTTCTCTCCCGGATAATCCCCGGTTTATCCTACAGAGATCCTCCCCAATACATCAGGGGTCCTTGGAGACAAGGACTAATGCTGTGTTTTTCTGGACCCAGCACACAGCAGATGCTTAATAAATGCATGCGGATGCAGTCTGGGATGAGCGGGCAGAAATCAGACACAGACTAACATCTTAGGCCGCAGATCACTTAAAGGTCACTTCAGCAACAAATCCCTTAACCTTCTGGGCCTCGGTTTCTTCATTTGTAAATTCTGGGGATGGAGAACCCCACATATGGCTGCCACCTCCTGCCTTTGAAGAGGCTGTCTCCCAAGACAGAATGCCCTCCACCCCAAGGCCCTCCAGGCTAGAGCTCCCACATCGGGCACCAAACACCCTTCACGGCCTCCTGCACCCCGCTAAGCGTGCCAGTGGGGTCGGACGTGACTCCCCTTCCCCACATCTCTGTCTGGTCAAACCGACTGCTTGCTGCTTTTCACCCATGAGCTCTACAGACCCTCCAGTTTCTTCCAAAGCCCCAGACCAGTGCCAGATCCTACAGGACACCCTCCTGATCTCCCTACTAGCTAGAGATCCCCCTCCAAATGGCCTGGTCTTTATTTTGTTTGGACTCTGCAGCCCAGGACCTAGGATATCCTAGGTGCTTAATGACCGCATAGTGTAAAGTTATATACAGAGCAGGCCACAGTCCATGAGGTGGACTGATGGTGGCTGCCGAAAGAATTCCTATGGGGCAGCTAGGTGGCACAATGGATAGAGCACCGGCCCTAGAGTGAGGAGGACCTGAGTCCAAATCCAGCCTCAGACACATAACACTTACGAGCTGCGTGACCCTGGGCAAGTCACTTAACCCCATTGCCTAGCCAACAAAACAAAACAAAACAAAACAAAACAAAAAGAATTCCTGTCTGATTTTATGGAAGGACCACCACCAAGCCCTCGGCTTCAGGAGGCGGCCCTCCCTCCATGGTCACCTCCCATTTCCTGTCTGAACCCAGCTTGTATGGACCAGCTTGGGGGCTCCTGGAGGGCAACGACCGTCTATGCCTGTCTCCAGATGCCCTGCCTACCCTGAGCATGGCTGGGCACAGATAAGTCCCAACAAACAGCGGCTGACTCCCTGAGGTGGGCTGAGGGCCATGTCGCCTGCCTCACACAGGACAGACCTGTTGTGAATGACACACGGCATGACGACCGCTGAGCCGCCGCCTCGGGTAAGGGCTTACCTGAGCTCAGAGAGTTCTGGAAATGCATCAGGAATGTCAGGCATCTTGTAACCACACCCGTTTTGGCCTGTCTGAAGAAGGTTACAATGCGGTTAGACAGTTCAGGGAAGCCCCTGGGAATCCTCTCCACCCCGCCTGCCATGTGCTCACGGATGTCACACGGCAGGGCCCCCGCGGCATTCTAAGTGCAGTGGCCAGAGGGTCTTAGCGCTCTTCACCCAGCTGACCCCACCACCTTAGGCCAGCCCCCGCCCACAGATTCGGAGGCAGCAGGGCCCATGATGCAGTAGGAGCACCGGCCCAGCACGCTAAGTGCAGTGGCCAGAGGGTCTTAGCGCTCTTCACCCAGCTGATCCGCCCACAGATTCGGAGGCAGCAGGGCCCAGCAAGCAAACACAGCCCTCCTCCTCCTCCCAGGCTGAGCATTCTGGGACTGGCTTTCAGCTCATTTTGGTTTTTCCCTCTTCTGGCTTTTCCCGTCCCTACTCTTGGCAAACCAACAGCAATCAACAGCCTAAGAAAATCTCAGGGCTGACGCTGTTGGGGGAGAGCCCGGGAATTCTGCACACCCCCCACGGACGAGTCAGCCCGGGATACCTACCAGCATCGGGGCATCTGTGGTGGGAACAGGCAATGGCAGGCTGGAGAGGAAACCATAGGAGGGAGCAGCAGGTTTGGGTGTGGAGTAACTCGAGGCCGGAGAAACGGCGTCAGCAACTGGCACGGAAGCCATGGGCCTGCTGGCTTCTTGTGGAGGATAGGAGGGGAGAAACGGGAAACCCTGAGCAGCATAAGGAGGCATTCCTGCCGGGCCACCGTAAAGGCTGAAGGGAAAGCAAGACGCCAGGAGGTTAGATGCCCACGGGACCACAGACCAGGGCAGGTCGGAGAGAGGCCTTCTGGTGAAGGCAAACAAAGGCATCCAAGCCTGCCACACAGCGCTTCTGTGGCAGCGATGCGCCTCTTACAACACGGTGTTCTAAGCAGGGACAGTGACTAGCTGCCCACTTTTCTCACACTTGCGGCCACAGCAGGGAGCCGGCTCGCGGGTTCTGCCTTATTCTGAAGGGGATTTACAAATCAGACAAAAAGCTTTGGACAAACGCACCCTACCATCCCCGTTTTACTGAAAGGGCCACAGAAAACCTTCAGGAGAACAAGGAGACCAAGTCATGGAGAGGATCCTGGTCACTCGTGTGCAGAAGCTGGCCACGCGGTCCAGCAGCTCCAAGTGCTGGGCCAGGAGTCAGGAAGACCCGAGTTCAAATCAAACCTCAGACAGAAAAAAATGGGGCTATCCCTGTTTCCGTGAAGGGCGATGCTCCCTCACAGAAGGGGACTTTTTCCCTTCAATCCCTGAAGCCATCTCATGTACAATAGCTCACATTCATAAAGCAACTGAGAGCCAATCAAACGCTCTTCTTGTAATGATCCAGTGAGGCAGGTAAGTGAAAACCGTGCAGCATGAAGCCAGAAAGAGAGACCCGCCGCTTGAGAAAACAGCCTTCTCTTCAACTCGCCAGACCAAGAAAACCCTGCCCCCACTGCCATCGGCGTCAGGAGAGATCGGCTTCACTGGGAAAACTGGTTAAGGGAGAGCCAAGTTCCTCCTTCAGCAGCAGACTTGGGCACCCAGAAGGCCGTCTGGGAGGCGGCGAGCTGAGGGAAGCGGGGATACATTTCCAAATACAGAGGAAAGTCTACCCAAACCCCCAACTTGCTACAGTCACCGTGTAAGTAGACTCTGCTTATTTATGAAGCATTCCTTAATTTTTTCTTATTCATTAAGCTTATTTATATTGTCTTATTTATTTTACATGATTTTATATATCATTTACTATTTGGCAAGTATTACTTATCAAGCATTTATACTTACTAAGGAAATGCTGAACTGGGAGCCAAAACCGGAGGATTCTTCCAAAACTCATCCAAGAGGCTCTGAATGATCTTCCCCAGATCTGAGTGCATGGTAAACTGAAAAACGAGTGCAATGATATTTCAGGGCATTTATAACATCTCTTTGGAAGAACATGCAGGGCTTAGCGGAGCTCAGCCCGCAGACTTAGGATAACTTCATGGACCCCGAGTTCTTTAAAGCGGGGGCTTCTCGCTAATAATTAGCAGCTTTCCAGACTTTGGTGCCCAAAAGCCTGGCTTCTCCACCCCCACCCGCCTGCCAGGCAGATCCCTGGCCAACAGACCTCTAGGACCACTCGGATTCTCAGACTCTTGTTTCCTCGTGGCCTGGCCTTCAAGAATGCAGGGTCACCTCCATGGCCCAATGAGGCACCAAAATGTGGACAGACATACAAGATGCAGGGTCCAAAATGGCCAGTGCTGCTGACCAGAGGTAGGTAGACCACAGCTCACAGACCGCGTTTTAAAATGGGTTTGTCAGCCAATTGCTTGGGACTCAGCCACATTATTGAGAGCTGAGCAGGTCCCAGACCATCCCGTACAAATGAATCACAGAGCTCAAAGAGAGCCATTCGACTCTTTCCAGTGACTCAAAGGTTCAGGGGTCAGCTCTGAGGGTCAGTACACCCAAGGCACAGTTCCTTAGGTTAGCCGCGCAGGGCGGTACACTCAAAATTATAATAGGGGATCACCTGATTCCAATCCTTCCAAGAAGCAAAAACAAGGTTCTCTCAGACCCAGAGGTGCAGAAGAGGCAATCACCTGCCACCATGGTGCCGGTGACAGAAAGAGAGCAGATGCAACGGAATTTATCTGACCGTTACAGTATCAGAGCAGAGCTGACACCTGGCGGAAGGAAGCCTTCCCAAGCCCCAGCCTCACAAACGCCACATTTTAAGCACATTTCAGGTTATGTACTCTTCAGCAGGGCTCCCTAATTTATCTGGATTAACCAATACTGTATACCTACATTGTTTACTAATGGACAGGTAACGTACACTCCATGTTTGTCCATTAAATGATGTCGTATTGGAGGGTAAACACTGATCACTGGTTTTTCCTGAGGAAACTGAGGAGGAAGGAAGCTAGGGGGGTGAACAGAAGAAAAAGACATGGTAAGTCCTACATTCAACACACACAGTCCTCCTAGAGCTAGGCAATGACAACTGAGCCTCAGGACTGCCACACGGGGAGCCTGAGGCCCCAGAGGCCAGCCCTGGCGGAGCAAACCTCCCCTGAGCCTCGCCCAGGCCTAAGGGGTCCTGTTGCTTTCCACTCCCTGTGCTGTCATGGAAACAGCAGCACCCAGAGCCTCTGCTGTTTGTCAAAGCTAATGTTTTTCAATGAACCAAAAACAAACAGAATATGCGAAAGGTGAAAGTTTGGCCAACCTGACCCTGCAGTCAAACCCACTGACTCAGGACTGCGGGAAAGAAGGGAAGGGAAAGCCTGGAGGCAGAGGAGGGCAGGGCACGCCTCAGGTCCATCCTGTGTCCAGTTCACTTCTCCCTCGTGAAAAGGCTACGGGTTTGGAGTAAGGTTCTGCCCCTTGTTTTGTACATTTATTTACTCCATGGCTATTAAACTTATCAGTAAATCATTCAGGAAGGATGCGTTTTACTGTCTTCAAATATGTGTCCAACAGTCAACCCCATCTGACTTTAGTAGCCAATGTCGACCTGGGGGGTCCCTCAGCCCAGGGTCCAGGACTTTTGAATTTCCATTTAACTGGTGTTTCTTTGGAAACCCTGTGAGCTTCTTGTAAGATTTACAACCATGACTCTGAGAGGGGGCCCCAGGGCTTCCTCCCCAGGCAATGGCTGAGGGCCCTTGCTTTAAACCAGCCCTCTTCTTGGTCACTTTGGGCTCACCTCCCTCTCTGTGCCCTGGCACACAGGAAATACTGGTGAGGTATAGGCTCAGCCACCTAACACAATCCACTGAGCTCCAAATGTGATGGCTCCTAATGGTCTCAGAACTTGTCCCTCGTGTGTCTCTTGAGATGACCAGTTCTGAAGGGGTACTTGACCCCCATTGCTGCCCCCACACACCATAGGGTAACTAGCCTAACAAACCCCTCCCTTTAGAGAGGGGGACACAAAAATGAGAGGCTGGACTTGGTGACGTCTGGCCTTCCCAGGACACACATCCAGGTGCCCCGGAGATGGGAATTCCATTGGCTACACCCCTCATTTCTGCCACACTTCCAGGAGCTATCCTGACAAAGACCAGCTTTTCACCATAACCACTGGCCACGATTCCAGAGGTCTGTCTCAGGAGGAAAAAGATGCCCACCTCCTGACAGAGACGGATCCAGACATGTCAGCTATACACGCATGTCTGTAACAGGGGTTTTGCTTTTCTTGCTTTCTCAACGTGGGGGAAGGAGTGGATGGGAGGCAAAAAGGGCAGATCTTTGTTGACTGGAAAAAAAAAAATAAAATTTCCCTTTAAAAAAAGATGAAGGCGCTCTGTAAGGACTGTCGGCTGCATCTTCTGTCCTCGTAGGATCAGATGGACCCTTGACCACTTTACTCTATCAGCCTTCAGGCCTTTCTCAGGCTACCTTCAGTCAAAAGGCAGTCAAAAACCCCAAGGAACTAAAACTGCCAGGGTCTGTCCAGTGGAGGCCAACGAACCCAGCCATCTCTGCAAAGAGATGAGCCGAGCTGGCAGTGCCCCCAGGCCGCTCCCTCCCAACACCTCCGGCTGCCGGGACAGTCAGTGGTCAGTGCTCCTGACTCCTCTGTCCCTCCCTCTCCCCCCCCCACCTTTGGGCTGACTACATTCCTGGCTACCTAACTCGCCCCCAAACTACATTCAAGCCCTTACAGGAGGGCTTGCCCCAGCTGACCTGCCTCCCCCCTCTCACCCTATCTCCTTCTACCTTTTTCTCCCCCTGGAGCACCCCCCACCCTGCTGGTGCCCTTTTCCGATGCCAAGGTCAACCCTCCATGCTAGGGATGGACCCAGGCCAACCATAATTTATTCCCTTCCCAGCTGGGCTTCTGAGTCTCTGGCCTTTGCCACACCACACCCCTCCGCCCTGCCTTCAGCTGCCTTGGCAGCTTGGCTTCCCTTATGAGAAGGTAAGCTTCTTGAGAGCAGGAAGTGTCTCTCATTTTGCTAGGGCTTAGCACAGTGCCTGGCACATAATACACACTTAACAGATGACTGCTGACTGCTCCTTTTTGGCCGTCCTGTTTCCTTTGGGCCTCCTTCTCTGTAAAGTGTGGGACTGGCTCTCAAGGCTCAGGCTTTTTCTCTCCACTCTGTGACCAACAGTCCACGCCAGGCCTATGGCCATCCAGAGCTGAAGGCCATCCCACCGGCATCCCTCGCCCACACCTCAAACTCAAACTCAGCACATTAAAACCTGCACCGTTCCTCTTCTCCCCTCGCTCCTCTCTGCCTGTCTGGCCTGACATCCTTAACTCTACTAACGAAACGACCATCCTTACAGACCCCGGCAGTTTTAGCTCCGTGGAATTTCTGACGATTTTTTGACTAAAGGTAGCCTGAGAAAGGCCTGAAGGCCAACGAGTAAAGTGGCCACGGGTCCATCTGATCCTGATGTCACAAGACTCCGGAGTTATCAGTCTTGACCCATCTCCTCCACCAGCCGCTGCTGACCACTCTCCTTCTGCCTGTCTTATGGCTCCAGCTCCGTCTCCTGGGCTGGCTCATTTCCCACATCACACCCTCTCACTGTGGGTCTTCCCTAAGGTTCTATCCCAGGCCCTCAGGGACACGGGTCGAGCCATCCCGTTATCCAGCCCCAACCTAGCCCCCCCACATTGTTTCTCCTGAGGACATCACCACTCTTCCAGTCTCCTAAGTTTCTGACCTTGGTATCATCTCGGACTGCTCCCCACTTCAGTCAGCTGCCCGGTCTTGCCGATGGCACCTTTTCAACGTCTCTTGCACCTGACCCTCCTCACTCCCCCGGTCCCCCACGCAGAGACCACTGCAGTGGAGGCCTTCTGCAGCTCTCACCTGAATGGTGGCAACAGCCTCCTCCTCGGTCTCCCTGCCTCCCTGCCCTAGTCCGTCTTCCACAATGCCTTCCCAAATCCCAGGCCTGACCAGGTAACTCTTCTGTAGAACCACATTCCTACAGCGTGCTCCCATTACTCACAGAATACAATGGGGACTTCTGGGTTTGGTTTGCTGCAGCCCAAATGCCCTTCTCTCCAGCACTCACACACAAAGCTCCAGGCCCCACCTTTGCGCTGGCTCTCCCCCATGCCTAGAAGGTCTTTCCTCCTTAATCCCTCTCTTTCTGAGGGTGCAGCTCAAGGCCCAGCTCTGACACAAGCCCTTTCCCATTCCTCTGCCACTGCTAATGCTCTCCGCCCCCTACAATCTTGCATTTAAACCACACTGGGTACACCGGCAGGTGTTCCATTGCCATTTATACTGTATCCCTCTGGACCCGTCTGGGCCATCTCCCCCAGTAGAATCTAACCCTTTGGGTCTTGAGTTGTTGGTGGACGAAGGGAAAAGGAAGAGGGGGTGAGCTCCAGGCCCTCCAGGTCGGTTCTGTCTCTAGAGCATCTATCCCAGTCTGTCTGACTCATCTGAACCACTTGCTTGCCTCCTGCCTCTCCCTTTTCCAATCCATCCTTCCCACAGTGGCCAAAGACAGCTTCCAAAACACGAAGTTTCAATCATCCTTCCCCTGGCTCCCAACTGCCTACAGGATAAAAAAACGCTCTTCACAGGACCTCCATCTAAGCCCGTCTGTGCTTTTCCATACCCGCGGATCACACGCTAACTCTTGGGTCAGTTGTCTGTGGCCACCTGATTCTTCTACAAAGGCCCACGGGTCTTGAGGCCAGGAGCTGAGGCCCTCAGCCGGGTACCTGGCCTGGGATTTCATGGCCAGATGGCCATGGTGGGAAGCTGCTCCACCCAGGGCCATCACAAGAATCCTCCTCATCAAGGTAGATCTAAGGTTCCTCCTCCTGTAACGTGAGAGGCGGCACAGAGCGGAGAATTCAGACCAGGCAGCCAGCCGGCCAATAAACATTCATTATGTGCCACGCACTGCGCTAAGTGCTGGGGATACAGAAGGAGGCCAAGACGGCCCCTGCCCTCAAGGAGCTCACAGTCTACCAGGGAGACGACAGACACAGACACAGACACAGACACAGACACAGACACAGACACAGACACAGACACACACACACACACACACAAACAAGCTATCTGCAGAAGGCATGGGAAACAATTAGCAGAGGGAAGGCTTGCAGCCAGAGCTGGGACTTTAGCAGGGACTTAAAGGAAGCCAGGGAAGTCAGGAGTTGAGCAGAGGAGGGAGAGGGCTCCAGGCATGAGGGACGGTCAGAGAGAACCCTAGAGCTGAGAGATGGAGGGGCTCATTAGCGTGAGAGCAAGAGGCCAGAGTCACGGGATGGAAGAGGACGCACTGGGGACTGAGGCGTTAAGGAGACTGGAGGAAAGGATTAGGGGGTGTAGGGCTGGGAACACCAAACAGGGCACCTCCTATTTGATCCCAGAGGCGAGAGGGAGTCACTGGAGTGTACCGGATAGGAGGGTGACGTGTTTCATGAAAATCACCCTGGTGGCTGACTGGAGGACGGGCTAGAGCAGGGAGGGGCTCGAGGGAGGCAGCACCCCCAGCAGCCCGGGTGGGAGCAGAGCAAAGAAGGGGACACCCGAGAGACGCTGCCAACAGCGTGGGTCTGGGAGGGGAGAGAAAGTAAGAAGCACAGGATGCCTCTTAGGCCGAGGGACCGAGGGACCCGGAGGACGGTGCCGCCTTGACAACAGCAGGCAACGTAAGAGGGAGGACTCGGGAGAGAGAGAGCTGGCTCTGTTCTGGACACGCCGACCGCATGTCCAGTCTGAGATGTCTGGAAGGCAGCTGGAGGTGGGGCAGGATGAGCACTGGTGGCGGTGAGCACAGGGATGGCAGCCGATGAGCTACCCAGACAGAAGCTGGGGTCACCCACAGTGAGCAGGCATGTCCTGGCGAAGAGCCAGTGAGGAGAAGGATGGTCAGACAGGCAGGCAAAGCCAGAAGGGTGCCCTGAAAACCCAGCGAAGAGCCTCAAGCAGGAGATCCACTGTGCCCACAGCTGCCGAGAAGTCAAGGAGACCCGGGGCCCACAAGAGCAATGAGAGATCAACGTGGAATGAGGAGGCCAGAAGACAGACTGTAGGGGATTAAGAGGGCAAGAGGAGAGAAAGCGGGGGCACCTGCTGCAGACGGCCTTCTCAAGGAGCGGAAACCCCACTCAGCAGCTATGGGACCACATCTCCAGAGCCTCTACTTCCTCATCTGGACCATGGGGATGATGCCTGTAGTACCTACCTCACAAGGCTGTTTTTCAAACAATAAATTCAATATTTTGTGACCTATAAACACCAGCAAAACCCCCACAAAACATTGAATATTAGCAGAAATCACCAATTAAGGAGAAAACAACACCACAAGCAAAACAAAGCACAAAACATAACAGACTACTTACATATTAATGTTAATTGTAAGGTTGTTTACCGTGAACGGTAATCTGTACTCCACATCTTTCTGTATTTCAGCTATGCTGTTGAAAGAAAATAAAGTTAGAAAAACATCGTTAGCACTGGAAAGAACAAAATCCTGAGGGCTTGGCCGTCAGCCAGTTCTCAAAGTGCCCAACCCCACGATCATTCGGCTTCCCAGCCAGTTCCCCACCCTGGTCACAAGAATCACATGGAAGACTGAGGATCCAACACCTGGCTAGTGTAGGAGAAAAAGGCCTAGTCCGGTACCCATGCGATTCCTCTGTGGAGCCGCCCCCCGCCCCCAGAAGCCGTGCGGCTCCCCTGACCTGTTTCACTTTTAACAATACGCTCCAAACTTCCTCACCAGTTAAAATGAACCTCCCTGGCCTCGGCTTGGTCTCTCTCCCTCTCCCTCCAACCACGCAGGCCCCCCCATTCCTGAGGTCTCTGACAGCGTGCAGCAGTCCGATCTGCCAGCATCAACGTGCCCGTCTTCCTTGGGCCTGGCTGTGTAAACCCAGGCGTGTGCACGTACACGTACGCTCCCTCCTGACAGGAACGAAGGGCTGAACGCGCCTGCCTCTTCCCGTCCGTCCCGTCTCTCGTTGGCCTGTTCCGGGCACCTCCCCTGCTCCACGGACGAGCTACGACGTCTGACTCTATCTGGACAGCACCAGGCCACACATCCATCTGCTGCCCGCTCCGGCCTCCACCTTCTTTCTGTCTCTTAAAGATCTCATTTGCCAGGACGTTGGCGAGCATCCACGTGGACGGCCCTTCTCCTTCCTCAGAGGAAGGCATTCTCCTGGTCTTCGGCCTTGACCACACCCCAGCCCTCTCGGGCTCATTCCCTCATGGGATCCTGCCTCTTCTCCGAATACTCTGAAACCCGCTCTCTCAAATCCCGGGTGGGCACCAGGTGGGAGACTGAAGACCGGAGCGCGAGCAGATGCCGGCTGAGAAGCGCGGAGGCGGCCACTAGAGTAGGAGCCGAGGACCTCCCTTGGGACCTTGAAGAGACGTCCCTCTGCAGGGAGGGGCCGTGGGGACCTGTGACTGCGGGGGCATCCTCCCCTTACTGTGCTGCTAAGTCCTGGCCGCAGCGCCTTCAGGTCTGGCTCATTTCCACGTTTTCTTGGCGTCTGTGGGGCCCAGCGCCGGAGAAAACTGCAATCCAACCACACAGACTTCGCTGCTCTCCAACCCCTTACGTCAAGTACGGCAGCGCTGAAAACCGACCCTACCGGAGCCATGCCCACCCGCCAGGCCCGACCACCCCAGAGCGCCCGATCCTTCCCCGCTCCCAACCCTCCGACGCCTGTGCGGGGCACGCCGGGCCCCAGGCACGCCCCCAGTCAGTGCTTAATAAACGCCCGCTCCCTCTCCCGGCCAATCTCTCAGCTGCCAACACGATGGGTCCAAAACGGGGTCCGACGGCGCGCCCCGCTGCCCCAAGGCTAAATGAAAGGCCTGTGGGGGGGGGACGGATCCCAGGCTCGTCACGGCCCCCCGGGTCTCTCCTCTGCGCTCCTAGCGTGCCCCGAGCGCACGGAGACCGGAAGTGTGCCCGGGGTCCACCCTGACCGCGAGCGGCACAGCGGGGGGGGGGGGGGGCGGGGGCGGGGCAGCAGACCCACGTGGGCAGAGCGAGCCCAGGGGGCGTGGGGGCGCAGCGCCCCGGACGGCCCCTCCCCCTCCCCAGGAAGGCCGCGCCGGTGGGGGAGCGACCCTCCCACTGCCTTCCGCTGTCCAGCCCCGGCCCCCAGCGGGAAGCGTGGCCCCCTGGGACCCCCGGGGAGACGGCAGCCCCCGCCTCCCGGGCCGAGCGTGGAAAGCTTATCCTAGGGAAAAGGGTTCCCCCTGCGGGGGAAACTGAGGCAGGGCCAGGAAAGGCCCCAGCTCCTCCTCGGGACACTGCCCCGAGGCCCCTAGACGGAAGGGGAAACTGAGGGGAGGCCTCGCCGCCCGACCCGCGGACACGCCCGGGCCGTGGGAGGGACGGCAGGGGGAAGAGAGGCCAGCCCGCCCCCGCGCCTTTGTCCCCCGCCGCGCCTCACCTGCCGTGCGCCGCGCGCAGGGACTCGATGAGCCGCTGCTTCTGCTGCTGGAGGCTGGTGAGACCCCCCGCTCCGCCCCCGCCGCCCCCCGCCGCGGGCGACGCGCCGCTCTTGCTCAGCGGGAAGAGCCAGCTCATGCCTGGGCCGAGGCCCCGCGAGCTCGGGCGGGCGGCTGCCGGGGCCGCCGGGGCCGCCGGGGCATGTCAGGCCGCGGAGCTCGCTCGGTCCGGGACGGGGCCGCCGCTCCGCCGCCTACGCTTCGCCGCTCTCTGCGCCTGCGCCGCTCTGCCGCCGCTTTCTGCGCCTGCGCCGCTCCGCCTCGACCGAGGCTCCGCCTCCTGCGCCTGCGCCGGCCCCGTGCGTGCGTGCCCGGGGGAGGGGGAGGGGGGGTGAAAATAGCCATGATGCGTGGCGTACGTGCATGCGTGCTCCGCGCTTCGGGATCGCGCTGCGCGCTGCGGGCTGACGTCATCGTGCAGCGCCTCGCCGGACTTGTGAGGAGAGGTGGCGCCGCGCGGCTCCCGCGCCCCCTTCTCCCGGGCCGGCGAGAGGCGTCTATGGGGCCGCCGCTGAGGCTTGACTCTATGGCGAGGACGAGGCGGAGGAGCACGACGACCGCATCGGCACCAGCGGAGGTCCTCGCGCCTGGGGCCGCGGCGCGCAAGCACGCGGGGCGGGGCGGGGTGGGGGAGGGGCGCTGCCGAGGGGGCGCGCGGGCACGCGGGGTGGGGGAGGGGCGCGGCGGCGCGCGCCGGGCCCGGGAGCGAGCCGGGAGGGGAGGGGGCGCGCGCCGATGACGTCAGGGCTTTGTACTGCGGGCCCGGGCCCGGCGCGGAGGGCGGCCAGGCCGGTAGGTGAGCCCCTCGTCTCTGAAGGTATGCAAGCGGAGGCTGGATGGCCAGCGGCCGGGCCCGCGGTCCAGGGCACCCCCGCTCAGGTACAGCTCGGGCCGGGGTGGGGGTAGGGGGGCCGGCCGGCAGGCCGCCGCCGCCGCCGCCGCCTCCTCCTCCGGGAAGCCCTCCTTGGGGCCCACGTGGGCAGGGCGGGCCCGGCTGGCGTCGCCTCCCCTCCCCTCCCCCAACGGCGCGGGGGCGGGCGCGCCGGGCAGGGTGGGGGAGGGGCGGATCGGGCTCCCTCTTCCCCCGACTCCGCCCCGGCGTCCTCGCCGGTAAAGGGGGCAGGTGGGGGGGGCACGTGCGGGGGGGGGGGGCGGCCCCGCGTCCGGGGCCTTGTCCGGGCGGGGGGGGCGGGGGTTATTTATGAGTGCCGGGGCCGCGGGCGGGGGCGGGGGCGTGCCCGAGCCCGCCCCGCCCCTCCCCTCCCCTCCCCTCCCCCGCCCGCCTTCCTTCCCGAACCTTCTCCGATCCTCCGCCGAGACGCGGCCGGGCCGGGCGGGGCGGGGCCGGGGGCCGGGGCCGGGCCACGTCGGCGCTGCGGGGCCGGGCGGGGGAGGGGCGGTGGGGGAGGGGCCCCGGGCCGTTTTCACTTGTCCGCGCCCGGAGCTAACGGAAAGGCGGGCGGGGGCGGGGGCGGGGGCGATGGGCCGCAGCTGTCATCGCGGGCGGGCCAGGCCCGGGCATGGGGTCCGAGCTCCGGGGGTACTGGCGCTGGGCGGGGGCAGGGGGTAGGGACCCCTCCCCGAATCCCGTCTGTAAAGGCCGAAGATAAAATGGGTAGATTAGAAAAGCGGCTCCCGAAATTGTGTTTCCAAAACTCCTGGATTTGAGCTCTGCGCTGGGGGCCGTGGAGGTCCGGTCCAACCCAGATTCCGTGTTCTCCCGAACCTTCCTAGAAGGAAACGTTAAGCCCAGAGACTCCTGTGAACACTTAAGTGCCTACTTCCGCCAGTTTTTTACTGCCCTCAAAGGGGCCTTATTTTAGGGCCCTGGCCTACTCGTGAGGATAGGATTTGGGCTAATACAGTGCCAGCTAATAACTTCTGGTTTGCTCCGGGTGAGATGGCCCGCACTCAGAGGCTAGTGGAGTCTACAGCCGACCCGAGATGGGTCTAGAGTCTGAATTATGCCTCCACCGACATGGGCATCACCATTTCTTCCGGGGGGTGGGGGCGGGGTGTCCATCTTGTTAAGGGCCTTCCCTTAAATCTCTGAACGCTTCTAGTGATGGGCATGTGAGCTGTCCCTCCGGGACCCGGCTCTCTCGTATCACGTCTTTGCTAGGGTCTTTTTACCCCTTGACACACTTCGTTCTGGGGAGTGTGCCGCCCAGTCTGTCTGTCTCTCTCTCCATTGCAGTTTGGGTGATCTGTTCTTCAGAGAGCGTAGGCGAGTCACTGAGGATTTAAAAGGTGGCCCTTTATTTCAGGGAGAAGCCAGGAGTCGCTCCCAGTACACCCTCCACCACTTCCCACGTGCTGTCTGAGCCTTTCATTCTTGGGGTGGATGCTGAGTCGAGCAAGGGGACCTCCTTTCTAAATGTGTCCCTGGCATGAGAAGCTGTGTGATGTCTAGACCTTGGTTTCTCATGATGGAGATGACTGAATGGTTGAGCTGGATAATCCCCAAGGCTCGCTCTGGATGTGAGATTCTGTGAATTTCATAATATGGGGAATTAGACGTGGTGGTGTTCTCCTTCAGTTGCATCTTGCTCTTTGTGACCCCGTTTGGGATTTTCTTGGCAAAGATGCAGAAGTGGTTTGCCATTTCCTTCTCCAGCTCATTTTACAGATGAGGAAACTGAGGTGGACAGAGGTGAAGTGACTTGCCATGGGTCACAGAGTTAGTAAGTGTCTGAGGCCAGCTTTGAGTTCAGGAAGATGAGTCTTCTTTTAATTGCTCAGTTTATATCTGTTAGGTTGAAGAGATTGGTTGCCTGTTTCCTTAAGAAATGAAGCAATGATACTGCTATAAATGGGGCAGCAGTTATTAACAGTGGCTAGCATTTATGACCAGGCACGGTGCTAAGCTTTACAAATATCGTCTCATTTGATTCCTCCACAATCCATTTTAGATGGGGAAACTGAGGCAAAACAGGTTAAATGACTTACCCAAGGTCACAAAGCTAGTACACATCTGAGGCTGGCTTTTGAACTGAGGTCTTTCTTTGTGATTTCAGGCCCAGTGCTCTCTCCAGGAGCACCTTGGTGACCTATTACCTTTCATTTGAGGTCTTTCTGTTTAGTGGGTTAATGTTTTGGATACCCTGGTGTCTTTCTCCTTTTATCTGTGGCCCTATTTTAAACCGATACACTTCGAGTTAGCATATGGTCGAGATTTTATGAGTTTTCTGAACTTGTTAGCTCTAGTCTCGCTGGTTGTGACTTTCAGAATGTTAACACCAGAAAGGGTCTTCCAAATCCCCAAGTTAAAACACCTTACTTTATAGATTTGAAAATGAAAGAAAGAAAAAATGAGCTTGGTTGGATTTCTTTTTTTTCCCATGGAGAAAGAAGGAAGTGAACCCATTATCTTTCCTTCCACATCCTTCTACTTTCCTATTAACTGCCAGGGACACTGCACCTCCCCCAGTCCCCCCACTCACAAACCAAAACCCAAACCCATCCAGACAAGGTATAGACAGTATGAATGGAAGGTTTTCTCAGCTGGAAGAATGGAGGGTGGGCAGGGCAGTGGGTGCTGGGTGACTAGCAAGGGGGTGGCTGTTCTCGATGCCTCACTCACACCAGCACCACACGTCAGTCCAGTCTTTTACCCAGTCCTTCCATTTTCCGCTTCCATAACATCTCACATGTGCACCTTCTGACTTTGCCACTATCCAGCCGCAGGTCCTCAGCTCCTCACAGCTCAGCTATTGCTGTAACCTTCTGGTCTGTTTCCCTGCTTCCTCCAGGTCATCTTCCTGTCAGCTGCCAGAATGATCTTCTAAAGTACAGGCCTGACGCCACCTACCCTCCACTCAAGAAACTCTGTTATACCTACAGTCACCAAATCCTCTGGCTTTCAAAGCTCATTACAGCCTAGTCCCTTCCTGTAGCTCCAGCTGTCTCACTCTTCACTCCCCTCCATGAACTTTATGATCCAGTGACATTGGCCTGCCTGCTGTTTCCCACCCACGTCATGCCATCCCCTGGGTCTTTGCCTCCTGACTGGCTTACTTTAAGGCTGCTCAAATCCCACCTTATATAGGAAGCCCTTTCCCACTCACCAGTCATCCACTGCCCCTACCCACCCTCCACTCTTGCTGCCCGCTTTCTGGCTGAGATTACTTTCCATTCACACTGTCTTTATCTTATCTTTTTGTTTTGTTTTGGTCTCCCTCGTTAGAATGTGAACTCGTTGAGAGTAGGGACTGTGTTTCTTAGTGTCCCCAAAGCTTAGCTTGGGGCCTCTTACTGGAAGCACTAAATAATAAATGCTTGTGGACTGACAGGTATAGTGGAAAGAACCCTGGACGAGCAGATAAGAAACCTTGGTCGAGTTCTAGATAGATTTCAGGGAGTTTTGTGGACTTGGGTGGGGCAAAATGATGACCTTACTTTCACCGACCTCTAACTGTAATTGAACATTTCCTAACCCTAAATGGGCACTGTGGGGGATGGTCCATTGACTTCACCAGACTGCCAGAGGGGGTCTGTGACACCAAAAAATTAAGAAACTGTGCTTTGATGGTTTCTCGAGTTCTCTTCCAGATGGAACATTCTGTGATTCTAATTAACTTGGACTCTTTCTAGCCCATCCCTCTCATTTTTCATTTGAAATAGTTAAATGCCTTGCCCAAGGTCACATAGCTGTTTAGTGTAATTTTATCAGAATATGAACATTCCGTACAGTTTGGAGATGTATACTTTGCAAGTCAGGGAAAATCTAGGTTACTTCTGATTAGGAGGTAGACTTTACAAGTAGATTGATTCAGTGGGTTTACTGGGTAAGACTGCTTTGGGGCCAGGATTTAGTAACTATTAACGCTAATTGAAATCCTGTTATAAATTTGCTTTTTCTTTTGAATGTTCTAGGTACAAAAATAAAGGATAAGAAAACTTATTTCATAAAACGACTCTTCAATCAAGTATACTATTTTGATGCTTGTTGGCATCTAAACCCTTTGCGTTCCCACTATGCCAGCAGCGACCGTAGATCATAGCCAAAGAATTTGTGAAGTTTGGGCTTGCAACCTGGATGACGAGATGAAGAAAATTCGTCAGGTTATACGGAAGTATAATTATGTTGCCATGGTATGCTCATAACCCAGTTTTTTGCCTTGTCTCTTTCTTGTAAATTTGCTGGTTGTTCAGTCGTGTGCCTTTTCGTTGATGTGCATGATGTGAGTGGTGGGGAAAGGAGAATATATAAATGTTAGAGCTTTTTATTGGAACATAGGTTGGAGCTGCATTTTGTTTTCATTAAGTGAAAATTAATCAAATAGTTTTTCTTCCCATAGAAAAAGGATTTAAAAGAAAAAAAAAACCCTTAATCCAAGCTTCCTTTCCCCATCTACACTTAGATAGTTCTTTGATCTCCCTGCTATTTCCGTAGATCAAAGACCTATACCAGGCTTTCTGACCTTGTTTGATGCCCCCCTTTCTTTGAATCTTCCATACAGGAACCAGTCTGTTAGAGACCTTTGACCATCTATGCTTGGTTAATCCTTAGCATGAAGGAAAATACTAAATTGAACTTGTAGTCTGCCTGTCAGTGAAGCTTGTTCATTTTTATGTGGATGTGTAGAGTATCTGCATTTCCTTGAGACATTGAGAACTGAACCACGTGACATTGATTTGTTTTTGGAGGATGACAAGGAGGAGGAGAGTTTGTGGTGGAGGAGCATTAAAAATCTAAATTAATTTTCTTTCATTTAACAACTGCGGACTTGCAGGTAACCAGGAATCGGTCATTTTCTAATCCTGCAAAATTCTTACCCCGCAGTTTGTGGGTGACGTGCTTTTTGCCCTCACTAGTCAGTAGTGGGAACGTGGAAGAAGACATACTTCCCACAGAGTTGAGTGGGTGGGATTGGAATGTTTTTTACACTGTTCTTTTCAGGAAGTAAAAAATGCTGTTTTAGCCAAAGAAAATTTAAGAAGAGCCAGCAATGAATGCTAACACAGGCATCGTCTCAAAAAAGGATTGGAAATGTACAATGAACTGTCCCTTTGGACTTTAGCCACGATTCTTGGAAGAACTGGGTTCTTGGTGCTGTGGTATACAATGACCATAATTTCTTATAGCCCTTCTGGGGACTTGAATTGTGCTTTTTTTTCCTCAAGTATAAACGTGTTTGATTGTCTTTGATATGGTATTATCTTAGGTGCTTTCTACATAAGAGGTTTTTGCCAAATGGGAAAATCCCAAGAAATTCAACCTTTAAAATCACTGTTTTGTGTTTTTAAGGAAGCAATTGTCTGTTCTTTCAAAAATTTTAAGAAGTTTTAACACTTAACAAAAACAAAATATCATGTGAAGGTTGGTAGGTGAGAGAGTGAATATGGATTGTAAAGTAGTACCTAAGAAATAGAAAAAAAAAATTAAGTAATCTAGGAATGATTGGATATTTGAGGTACTTTGGTAAATCGTGAATTTCTAAACCATTTTACAGGACACCGAGTTTCCAGGTGTGGTTGCAAGACCCATTGGAGAATTCAGAAGTAATGCCGACTATCAGTACCAACTGTTGAGGTGTAATGTGGACTTGCTAAAGATAATTCAGCTCGGCTTAACGTTTATGAATGAGCAAGGAGAGTACCCGCCAGGAACTTCAACGTGGCAGTTCAACTTCAAGTTCAATTTAACGTGAGTTTAAAAAAAAAATCTAACCTTTGGTTTTAAGTTATTGGAAGTTTGGGGGGTTTAGGGATTTTTTTTGTCCTCAGGAGGCTATAATTGAACAGGCTGATAATCCTAAAGTTCTATAAGAAGTGTAACCTCGAAAGTAAAGCTTCATTTTTCCTTAAGTTTTAGATGAGTGCTAAGCACGTGAACGCCATCTGATTCAACATAACACTAGCAGTTGCATTGAGTGACCCCTCAAAAGGTTATAGGGTCTACCAACTTCACTTTTATGTCAACCCTTAGCCTATCACTTGATTTGTTCTCTTATTTAATTTTGTTATTTTGAACTCTAGCAATCCAGTGGTATGTTTTGATATTTTCGTACTCATTAGTAAACTTTAAAACTTTCTCATTCATTTGTTAAAATCCCTATTTCCTTGCATTAAGTTCATTTAGTTAACTGGGGAAACATAACTATCTACGATATTTTTGATAAGAGAAAGTTCAAAGCCATCCACTTTGGATTCTTGGTGAAACAGTAAATGATTTCACTTCCAGAAATACAGTTTCACCATTAGGTCCACTGCAGATGCAGAGGCTTCTTCATATTTCTCAAGATAAGAGTTAAATTCAGTTTCTCAGGGGGGAAAAAGTATAGATTAATCCTTTTCCTTTGCCCTGTCTTCAGTCATTACTGGGAACAGTCTTTCCTGAATGTGCTGTTAGACTCCTCATGAATCAGAAATAAAATATACCCCATCTCTGACTCCATAAGGAGAAACACTTCCTAATAGCACCACATTTTTACCCGCTGTTTTCAAACGTGCCAGCAAAAATGACTTTTGTACTTCTCAGCGTTCCATTTAGGTCTTAAAGATACGGTACCAGTATCTATATTCTTTGTGAGCGCCCTTTGAATAGATGTAAGAGCTTTTAAGAAAGTGTTTTATTCATTTTTTAAATTACTAGAACTTCTCAGTGACTTCCTCCTCTCTTCCCCTTCCCCTGAATAAAAACTTGCCTCGTATCAGAAGAACAGGTAAGCAGAGCACATGCAGATGTTGGCCTCATCTGATAACGTAGTTCTTATTCTTTACCGTCAGTCCCCCACCTCTCTCCCGAGAGGCAGAAAGCCTGCTGTGCTGTTGCCGTTTGCCTTGGTCAGCGGGTCTTGGAGTATTGCTTTCCTTTACAGTATCGCCATCCCATGGAACGTTGGCTTGGTTCTGCTTACTTGGGTCTTCATTAGTTCATCAGCCTTCTTAGGATTGTTCAGATTCACCATTCTGAATGACAGCAGCATTCCGCTATGTGTATAAGGCCAGGTTGGTTCAGTCCCTTACCAGCTGGCGCCCACTTACCTTCCCATTCTTGAGTTGGTCCAGTGCTAGTTCTCCTTGCGCCTCAACTTCCTAAACCCTCACTGAACCCTCTCTCCCTTCTGGGCCAGGCCACGGCCCCGCCTTGTCCCTCCATTCTGTTGACTGATGCCCTTCTAGACGAGCGCCCTGGATTCCTCCCACTATCCGTCGTCACCCTTTTGTTGTGCTCCTGAGCTCCGGGGGAAGATGTCACTGCGCTTCCTGGGGCAACTCCAGGTGTGTGTTAGGCACACTCATCTACAACATGCCTCTATTGGCTCTTCTCTGAGTCTTCTGAACTCCTGCTGCTAGTTTTCCAAACCTCTTCTGAAACTGCAGGCACCTCCCCATTTGCTCTCAATAGAGAACCTGGGACTCATAGTTCACCAAAAACATTGAGACCATCCTTTGTGAGTTCCCAAGGCACCTCAGTTCCACATTTCAAATTATCTTAACATTATAGTAAAAGCGAGCATTTATGCTGTAAATAAGGGCTCATCTGTAACCACAACCCAGGAGGGAAGTGCTGTTAGCCCCATTTTCTAGGAGAGATGTTAAGTGGCTTGCTTGCCCGGGGTCACACACAGTCAGTAAGGGCGAGGCCAGATTTGAACTCAGATGTTCCTGACTCCTGTGTCCAGCCCTCTGTCCTCCATGGTGCCTCCCCCATCCTCTCCTCTTTTGCTTCAGTGTCTGAGAAAGACATTTTCTGCCATTTCTCTGTTTCCCTTCTCAGTTCTGTCTCCTCTGCTTGTCGCCTTAGGCTCTCTTCCCCCGGGGGAAGCTTGTCTCTTCCATTACCCACGCCCTAGGGCATCATTGTCCATCTTTCTTTATGCTCTTGCCACTTTTTTGCTGCCTTCCAACATGCCCAGATCTCCCTCACACTTAAAAAAAAACAAACCGCCTTTCACTCCACATCTTAGCCCTCAAGCAGCTATCCTCCCTCTGGAAATCAGACACAGAAGAAGCCAGGAACACTTGGGGCTTCTTCTTTCTTGACTCCCACTCATTTCTCAGCCCCTTCCAATCTGGCTGCCAGTGTCCTGTCTCTGTCCCAGGACCCAAAACCCACGTCTTCATGCATGTTCCACGCCCCAGGAATGGGTGTCTCCCGTACCTTCCTCCTTTCTACACCTTCTGACTTGATCTCAGGAGCTCTGGGTTAAACTCCCCCCTATTCAGATATCTGCTCATTATCTAGCACCAGTCCCGCCTCCCCCACTGGCTGCCCCATAGGTGTCTCAATTTCACCTTGTTCCAGACTGAGTACCTGGTCGCTTCCTCTACACTCCTCCCTCCTCCAGAATTCCCTGTTTGTGTCAAAGGCACCCCGTTTTAAACACCATCCATGGCTCGTCGCTCCAGTAGTTTGCCAATTATTGGAAGTGCCTTGAAAAGGCATCTAGGGTAGGAGTATTGCCTCCTTTTGTCTCCAGGTTCTCCCACTCCAGAATCATTGCTTTTCCCACTCTGCCACATATTATGTTTTATCAGCACGTTAGAATGCAGACTCCTCGAGGACAGGGATTTTCTCGATCTTATGAGTCTAGCATGATACCTGGCATGTAGACAACGCTTAGTAAATGCTTGTTGATTGATGCCTTGTGTGTATACATGGGCATGTGCATGTATAGATACACGTACATGCATATTCAATGTGTCCGTTTTGGACGTGTGTTTAAGATGTGTATTGGATATCTAGTTCAAAATGTCCAATACATAAGTGAAGTGAAACTGGATAGGTCAGGCCTGGATACTTAGATGATGGTCATCGGATCCATGCCATCGGACAGCGACATTATTTTAATGGGCACGGCCTAGAGGAGGACCCAGCAATGGAGGCAGAAGGAGGGTCAGAGCAGGAGGAGGAGAAGCGGGGTAGGGGGTCCCAAAAACCTCAAGAGGAAAGGGTGGTCAGCAATGTCAAAGGCTGCAGATAGGTCCAGGAGAATGAGGGCTGAGAAAAGGCCATTGGACTTGGCAACAGAGTGCTTATTAATAACTTTGGAGAGAGCAGTTTGGGTGGAATGATGAGGTCAGTGGCCAGATGGTGAGGGGCTAAGAAGAGAGTAGGAGGAAGGACAGTGGGGGCTCCTACCCTCGATGCCTTTTCAAGGTATTTAGCTACAATGGGCAGAAGAGACGGGACGAGGTAGCCGGGATGGAAGGATCAGCCGAGGGTCCCCGTCCAGGATGTAGACACAGGCGTGTTCAGAGGCAGTAGAGACAGAAGGATTGAAAAGAAGGGAGGGACGCAGTCTGTAGGAGGAGACGAGGATGGCATCATCTGAGCAGGTAGAGGGCTTTGTCCCTGTGGTGACCTTCAGGGCACTGCTAAAGGTCCCGATGTCCCCGTGGCTCAGGGGGACGGTCACTGATGCAGGGAATTCCTGTGGAAGATGCCCTTTTTTCCAATCCAGATAGACCCCTCTGCAGCTTAAGTCTTTCAGACTTAGCTACAGAGACTCGATGGTTTTTCCAAGGGCACGCTGCCGGAACATGTCAGAGGCAGCGGCTGGTACAGTGTCAGTAGAGCTCGGGCATGGAGTCAGTCCCACCCCAAGACACTTCTAGCTGTGTGACCCTGGCAAGTCAGTTGATCTCTGTCCGCCTCAGATTCCTCAACTAGAGCACCCACCTCCCGAGGCTAAAAGTTTGTAGCACAGAGTGACACACAGTGCGTGCTATCTGAACGTTCCCTTCCCCTTCCTTGTGTCTTTCGTCCTCCTCGGTCAGAGAGTTTTTGGGAGTTGTCTGTGGTCACACAGCCAGGTTCAGGTGTGGGTCTTGTGGCTCCAAGTGCATAATATGCCCCACTCCCTCTGGCAGCAGTGTGAACAGTCGGACATTAGAGCTGGTCTGCTGCCGTCTAGGGAGAGAGGGTGCAAGGTTCTGGTCAGAGAGAGAGGCTTGGGGTCCAGGCGGTGGGTTGGGTGGATTGTGCCACAGTGGTCATGGTAGCAAAGGCCTTCAGGGCCTGCTGTGTGGCATGGGGTTGCCGAGGCGAGAGGGTCTTGGGCGGGGGCTCAGACGATGGCCGGGGCAGGCAGGGAGACTCGAGCTGAAGGGGGCACACGGACAGTGCCAGATTACTGATCCGTGGTGCGTGACCACTTCAGGGTGTGGTAAACGTGCCGTGCAGGGGCCGGTCAGGGAGGTCAGGGTCACTGATGGGGAAGCCGCACGCGCAGTGAGGTGGCCACACAGATGGATCCTGGGGAGCAGTGGACCAAGTGATTGTGACAGCTGCCATTTGTGGCCCGTCACTCTTTACATGTCTTATTTGAGCCTCACAACATCCCTGGCAGGTAGGGGCCACCATTATCTTCTTTTACAGTTGAGGGAACTGAGGCTGGGAGGGCACCTTTGTGAAAGCAAGGGCTGTTTTTCCCTTTGTGTCCCCAGTGCTCAGCCCAGGATCTGGTATACACTAAGTGCTTAATCAGTGCTGCAGCCGAAGGCCTCCTGTAGGAGGTGACCCTGGGACAGCTGCAGCTGATCGAAAGGCACGCAGCAGGCCAGAGGTGGTGCTGTGTCTGGCCAGCACAAAATGTGGGAGGGGCCTGCTGGGAGTCAGTCCAGAAGGGGAGATTGGAGTGACATCTTTGAATGGGGGGGGAGCGCCTTGAGTAGATGGGGGAAGGGACCAATTAGGAGGCTGTTTACAGCAGGCCACGAGAAAGGCAAGGAGTATTTGTGCAATGAATGGAGAGAGGCTTGGGGGTGCAAGAGGCGCGTGGACAGAGAATCAGCGGGATCAGACAGGTCTTTCTGAACTCCTTTGAGCACTGCTACGTTACCCATCAGTCAGTGGCCACTGCCTTGGCGCCAGTTCTTTGCTACTACCCTAAGTGCTCCTTTGAACGTTTGGTGTCTTGGAACAGATGCCTGGCAGTAGAGTCTCTGGGCCAGGGGACGTTTTAGCCTCTTCCTTGAGAGAGGACAAGCCGCTTCCTTCTCCTTGGAGCATCGAGCTCTGCCCTCCTGAGGTCCCTCCTCCAGTCTGTGGATAGCTCCAATTCCCCTGCCTCTGCCTCCCAGTTCCTTTTTCCCCTAATGAAGCCTCCATTCTGTGGCCCCGAGGAACGCTTCCTTCCTGTGAGACCCTTCCCCTTCTCCTCTTACAGGAAGATCAGTCCGCCCATACTTTCTGTGGGGGAAGAAGAGGAAAGAGTTTAACGGATTAGCTTGAATTCCTGTTTTCTTTTTCTGCAGTGGTGGGAGGGTTGGAGAGGGGAAGGAAAAGGTCATTGAGGCATCTTTCCTAAAAATTCAGAGAACAGACGGAAGGCCAGAAAGAAGCAGACCAACCCGATAACATTATGTCCTTGAAAAGCAAGTCATACGTAAATGGGAGAGCTGTCATTTCACGTTCTCCTGTGGATATGGAAATGTTTCTGTGCAAATTCAGAATCAAAGAAAGAAAAGGAAGTGACTTAACATAAGCTCACGCTGGTAGGAGGGGTCACAGGCAAGATTCAAATGCAGCTCCTCCAACTTCAGAGACATCAGATGTCATTGTGTGGGGTCTTTTTACAGCAGCTTCCAGTTGATACTGTGATCTAGAAAAATGGCTTTCAAATTTGACTTTTTTTTTTTAACATGTATTTTGGAATAATTGGCATTAAGCTGACAACCTGTTTTGTCCTTCACTGCATCATACTTACTGCTGCATGTTGTGGGATGTGACGTCACATTTGAAGCGTCCTTGTGGAATCCTGCTTTTCTCTTCCCCTCCAGGGAGGACATGTATGCCCAGGACTCCATTGAGCTCCTAACGACCTCGGGAATCCAGTTTAAAAAGCATGAAGAAGAAGGGATTGAGACACAGTATTTTGCAGAGCTTCTCATGACATCAGGCGTCGTGCTGTGTGAGGGGGTCAAGTGGCTTTCATTTCACAGGTAAAGTCAGCTTCAGAAATTTCCATTCATTTTCTCTCCTTCCTCCCCCCCCCCCCCGTTTCTCGCTCCCACTGTCTGTCCCCTCCCCCTCTCTCTCTTCCTTCCCTTTCCCCCCTTATTCAAGGAGATAAGTCATTGAGGCACCATCTTGTAAAGCATCTCAGGAGATTGTTACGAAGGATTTCTAGGAAGGAAGACAGTTTTCCTTTTGAGTTGATCCCATTTTTCCAGTACGGGAATAGCTGGCAACCAGAACTTGTATGAAGTCCTTGCCGTGGGCCTGTCCTTGTGCTAAGTGCTGGGAACACAAAACCAAAAATTCTACTGTAGCGAACAAAATGTTTGCTTGGTATCTGAAGAAGAAATAATAGATGGTCTCCAGACTTTGAGTCCATACAGGAAAGGAGATGGAAAAACTGCAAAAACAGGACCATTCGGTCTGCCCTGTGCCTTCCAGTGGGAGCTCTTGGGCCTCTTCAGAGGCCGCTCCCCTCTTAGTTGCTTCCTGGACTTCTTGCAGACTGCCATCCCCCAGAGTTTCCTCCTTAGAACAGTGTTAGTTAGGTTCAGTAGCATCACACTTCAGCCACATATTAGGTGCTAAGGCTTTCGTGGGAACCTAACCACAATTTGTAACATTGTTCCTATAGGAAAAGACACTCTGTTCTCAATGACTGGGTTTTTCTCAAGTTGGAGACATTCTGTGATTTCCTCTGCATTCCAGAAAAGAAGGGCTTTCTGGGATGAATTTTGCATGACTCAGGTCTCCTTTTTTAAAAAGCTATTCATGGAAATTTGGGTGGATGCCTTCTTTTGCTCAGTATCGTTTTCCCTGGAGCAGGCAGAGTCATTTGGAATGATTCCATGGTCCTCAGAGTTGTCACTGAACGTTCCCATTACCTAGTTGACAGTTTTGCTGACAGCCTTCTGAACATTGTGTGTCTCATTGGAAAGTCAGAAGCAGCACTAAATTAACCTGGTCTTTAGTGCAGAGGTTTTTAAAAAAAAAAAAATGCATCTGTCAGATTGTGGAAAGTCAGCGTGCGCGCGGCCATGGAGACAGGCATTGTTGGTAGGTAGCCAGGCTCGGCATGGCCTGTTTCCTAACCTAAACAAACCGCAGCATCATGTGGGACCAGTCAGGTGGGGGTGGGGAGGGGCTGGGGAGACTGCCTTCTGGTCATTTTAGTCATTGAAAGTTCCTTTTCTTCTCTGCTATAATCTTCATTTGTTGCTTGCCAGCAACTAATTGTTGCGCTTGTGTGACCAGATAACTTTTAACACTAAAGGTGCTTTTACAACCCCCACTCCACCTCCCTTTCTCTTTCCTTTGGAACGGTCTTGATATCCTATCTTGGTCCGAATATAGGCCATGCCTCTAAAATAAAAAGGAAGGTGTATATACAGATTGCACTTTATGTAAGTAGGCCATTCCACAGACCTCCACGTAAAGTGATTTTACATAATGCAAATTTGCCCACAGATGGGAGAGGGAAGCATGTTGGCCTGCCAGACAAAAACCACGCACTAAAAGGCTGCTGCACATGACTCTGGGCATCTCTTTAGAAGGACCTTACACAAGGCAAATGTGGGGGACTAGGGGTAGGAGTGCTCTGTATTTGGATGGCCTGGGTCATTGAGGGAGTGCAGAGTGGCTGATGGGGGAGGAGAACACTGTAAGCCCTTCCTCTTTAGTGCTGCCTTCAAGACCCCTGCGGTCTCATTAGCCAAGTAGACAGGTAGATCAGCCAGGCCTCCCACCTTCTTGATAGTGTTTTCAGAACAGCAGCAAAGGTCACCCCCCTCCCCCCAGGCGCTGTCTGGCTGTGATGAGAGGCAGGACTTTGATGACTGGAAAGGAGACAAGATAGTGTATGAGTGAAGGGGAGAGCATTCATGTGTTTAACCAAGATGATGGAGCCTAGAAGACTCATCTCTGAAATATACCTGGTGAAGACATTTGGTCTTCCTTCTGTAGGTCATGGGAGGCCAGTAAAGTTAGAGGAAGGATGACCTGGCAGAAAAGTGTCGGCAGGAGGATGGTTATCAGCAGGTTTATTAGTGATGGCGCACTCTGGGGCTTGGAGTTTGCTGACCAAGAAGATTGTAACAGGGACGTCACGGTGGGGCGAGATGACTTTGCCGGTGTCTGACAGGTTGAGTGTGTCAGTGGTGTTGGAAGGTGGGGCAAGGTGAGCTTAAGGGAGGATCCCCAGCAGGAGATGATAGCTGTGCCCCTCTCAGGAGAGGAAGGTGACCATCCAGCACGTGAAAGCGGGCGAGGGAAGAGAAAACAGCAGAGGCTGGGGCTCTAGAAAACAGAGCTTCAGGGCATGTGCGTCCCTCTTGATAAACCACAGAGTCCAGTGAGGGACCCAGGCTTGGGTTGTCATGATGCTGGTTCTGGCATCCTCGAACTTCACGTTGTAACTGAAATAGGCCCCAGGGCCAGGAAGGGGACTTGGACGTGGGTTTTTTTCTTCTAATCCCAGTGCTCTTTCTTAGAGTATTTTCTGCCCATTTTCTCACCCCACACAGCCCTTTTGTTTGGTTTTTCTGTTTCAAACACGTCAGATCTGTGTTTCCTAGGAAACCTGCCTAGGGCAACCAACCATCATTGGTGTTCTCCCAGCTTTGTGAGGATAGGAGGATTTCATAGTCTGGTCCCTCGAGGCATGGCACTTACCCTGGAGGAGAGGCCAGTGAAGGGGGCTGACCTCGGCTGGACACACACGCCCCGCCCCCTTTCCCTGGGTTTAGGCAGGCTTTGAGTTTGGGGCTTGCTGTGGCTGAATAGGAGATTGACTGAGAGCACAGTGGCCCTTTCCTTGGGAACAGTGGCTCGTGTCCCAGTACTCAGGCTGGATCCGAAGTGCAGCAAAGGGGCTCCAGTTCAAAGTGGCATTTGCTAAGGAACGTGGTGGGAAGCCTCGTCTGCAGAGTGAATCACCGCAGTCCAGCACCACGAGCCTCGTCACCGGTGGGAACCTTCCTACAAGAGGGCTCCATTCCAGAGTTGTCCCATGTAACCATCTAAAACATGTCCCTGCTGAGCTCTTAGACAGTGCCTCCTCATGGCCTGGCATGTGCTCAGAAATCTTGCCAGGGCAGCGCAGTCTCCAGCCAGCCTAACCAAACTGGCCTTTCCCCAGTGCGGTCACGCGCTGCAGAGCTGACGACCCGCCTGGCGGAGGTCAGACCTGCCCACAGCGCTTCTCAGGGACGCCGCCACGTGGTCACGGGGAGGGGGGCGGCTCCCAGAGCCTGGAGGCTTACTGTTGGCGCCTTGGTATTCATCTTGCGCTTTCCCTGTGTTTGGCCCCATAGTGGTTATGATTTTGGCTATTTAATCAAAATCCTGACCAACTCCAACTTGCCTGAAGAAGAGCTGGACTTCTTTGAGATCCTCCGATTGTTCTTCCCGGTCATCTATGACGTCAAGTACCTCATGAAGAGCTGCAAGAACCTCAAGGTATGGTTTTGGTGTGGCTGGGCACCGTCCGGAACCCCCTGCTGAGCTACGTGGCTAAATGTGCCGGCCCCCCAGGGGATCACGGCAGCTCTTTGGAGGGGGTGCTCAAGGTTGCCTGTCTCAGATGGGGAATGTCAATCCTTCTTCAGGGGGAACTACTCTTCTCCGGGGTGGGGGTGGGGTGTGTGCACGCTGCTAATCACGGGATACACAGCCTGTGAGCGTGGAGGACCGGGGCCGAGCTTGCCTGGAGGGTGGCAGGGCTAGAAAGCCTCCAGGCCACCTGCTCCCTGCCCCACCCCCGGGCTTCAAGTCTGAGAGTAGACACTTTCTCATTGGAATTCACACCCAAAAAAGAGCAGCAGTCTGGGTGCCCTGACTGCAGTTTTTGGGTCATTGTGACCAGAAGTGGGAGCTCAGCCGTGTGAGGTAATGCCCAGCGCCTGAGGGGCAGCTGTATTTTATGGATAGCCTGGTGAAAGAACGCCAGCATTTAGTGAAATGTTCTAAAAGGCTCTGTGCTAGGTGCTAGAGACACCTTGGTCCTCCAGGCCCTTGGGATACTCCGTGAGCCAGATAAGCATCTACTGGCCATTGGAGGAGGAGGACTCAGAGGTGGGAGGGGGGTGGCAGGGTGGACGCAGGAAAGGTGTTAGAGAAGAGGCATTCTACATTGAGCCTCAAAGGAGCCGAGAGAAGATGGAGGACGAGTTTGGGGAATGGCAGGTAAGCCATTTTGGCTGGACACGGGATGCGGGAAGGGAAGGAGTGGGAAGTCAGCCTGGGATGGCCTCCTGAAGCCCCCTGGGCAGGGCCTTCAAACAAGAGGAGGCTGCTCACAGAAGGGGTGCTAACGTGGTCATTGGCAAGAAGAGATGGTGTGAAGGTAGAATCCCCAAGTCTTGGCACCTGATTGCATTTGGGGGGAGAGGGAAGGGTCAGGATAAAGAGCCCCCTGGCGCTTGTGGAGTTGGAGGAGAGGCCCAGCTGGGAGATGGCAGTGTGGGCCTGGAGTTTAAGAGCCCTTAGGGTGTGGTGTATAGATTGGTGGTTATCTGTGTCAGGGGTGATTGATAAGGTCTCCCGAGAGGGGCGAGTGAGGGAGAGAGCCAGAGCAGCTCCCCAGAGAAGGGCTGAGAGAGAACGATATGGCGAGAGGCTGAGGAGGCCTCCGGGGAGAGGTTGGTGTCATCAAAGGCGGGAGGAAGAAGTCATCAGTGTCCAAAGCAGGCAGGAAGGATTGAGAACAAAGAAAAGACCCATTTGGTTTGGTCATCATGTCATTGTTGGCGGTCTTTGAGAGGACAGCATCCAAAACCAGTGAGGGGTTCAGAAGGGATGTGGGGAGAGGCAGTGAAGAGGGTGGATGCTGAGGACTCTGAAAGATTTCAGCTGTAAAGGGCGTCAGAAGCACTTTTGGGGGGGGGGCTAGGCAATGGGGTTAAGTGACTCGTCCAGGGTCACATAGCTAGAGTGTTTTGTGTCTGAGGGCACATTTGAACTCAGATCCTCCTGAATCCAGGGCCGGTTCTCTATCCACAGCGCCACCTAGCTGCCCCACAGACTGAGGCACTTCTTAAAGAGATTTTAGTAAAAGCAAGTTTGTAGATGGCAGGGAAGGGAAAATTGAAGGTGAGAGAGGAAACCTGTGGCTAGTATCAAGGCTCTGTGTGGCAGAGAGGAAGGAAGGAAAGTTTCCTGAGGCCTTATTATGCTGTGGGCACTGTATTGTGCTCAGTGCTGTCTCCTTTGTAGGACCATTTCTTCCCCAGACATGCGTAAAAGAGCAGAGAACTGGGTGGGGGTGGGGGGGTGTTTGAAGAGTCGGTGGCCGATGAATGAAAGAAACAACATTTACAATGTGATTTCTCCATGTAACACCCACAGGGCCTCCGTGTTCTTCCTAAATTAGTGTTGAGGCCCACGCCTCCCCTGGGAGTGAGGGGGTTAAGGGGGCAAGAGAAAGGCAGGAACAGCCACTGGGGGCTTTCCCGATGGGTGTGCTGTGTGGGGGAGGGCCGCGGAGGTGGGGTCCCTGGGGCTGCTTTTGGCCTCAGCCTCGCCGCACTGAATAAAGGCTGGGGTTCAGAAAGGCTGGGCTGGTTTCTGGCCAAAGGGAGTTGTCTTGGCTGTCAGGGGAGGGTGTCCCAGGGAATTTGTGGAGCATAGATTGCAGCTTGCCACGCTCCCTGTCACATATTCTGTCATCTTTATTCTCCAGCAGAAGCTGCTGCCTGTCAGGAACACTCGCAGTTCCTCAAAGCATTTTATGGCATCTCATAGTAGCCTTGAATGCACATCAGTTTTGTGCAGCAGTGGACTGTACTTGAGCTCAGGGGACAAATAAACAGATCGAAACAGATTCGTTGCTCTTCCTCTGAAGACCTTCCCTGGTGCTTCCGTGTGTCACGGCTTCCAGGGTGAGGTCTGTAATTGGGCCGAGCTTTCGAGGCATAGGCTGGTCAGAATTAAATGTGACCCGAGGAAGACTGTCTGCTCCCAGCCTGTTATTTTACAGATGGGGAAATGGAGGCCCAGAGAGGTAGATGACTGCCTGCTTAAGGTTACACAGTCTAGTGTTCTTTCCATTAATCTGTTCTGCTGTGGAGAAAGTCATCGCCATTGGGCCACATTGGGGGTGGGTCACAGTAACTCTTTTTTCTTCTTTCTTGAAAGAGTTTGTTGAAATTGAATTTTATTTTCATATCTGAATTCTCCCCCTTGCTCCATTGAGAAAGTTAAAAAAAAATCCATTGCAGACACGTTCAGTCCAGCAAAACAAATTGCCACGTTAGCCGCGTCCAAAGACTGAGTAGAAATCAGTCTGCACTGGGTCTTCAGGAGGTGGGCAGCACATTTCATCACGAGTCGATCCGAGTTCTGAATCTTTCAGTCCACACAGCCCTCCTGACCCACGTGCAAGTGTCATGTCATGTCATCAGTGGGTTGCCCCTTTATCACTCCCAGTGCCTTGTAAATGCGTGCAGGTAAGTCAGTAGACAGCAGCCCACTTTTCTCCCGTTTGTCACTCCCACCCCCATGTCACGGCACTTGAACTGGCGGCGGACGCGCCTTCTCTCTGTGACGGTGGGCCTTCTGCTTCTTGTAGGGTGGCCTGCAGGAAGTGGCTGAACAGCTGGAGTTGGAGCGCATAGGACCACAGCACCAGGCAGGATCCGACTCGTTACTGACGGGAATGGCCTTTTTCAAAATGAGAGAAGTATGAAGAACTCACTGCTCTTTATTCAGTGGTGTTGTGTGGGGCTTGTACAGTTCTCTTTTCTGCGGGCAGGAGGGCCTTAGGAGGCAGAGATTTTGTTCAGGTTACTCCGGAGTTCTCTCTTTCTGGTTTTGGTGTTTGTGTCTTCAGATGAATCTTTAAACAATAAGTGGTCATGAGACAAAAGAGCAGAATCACCTGGTCTGATCCCTTCCTTGGTACGTGAGAAGTTTGGTTTCACTCCCCACTTCTCACCCCCACCCCTGAGTTTGCCCTGTGGTCAGTAGTGCTGGATTCCACACCCAGGGTTCTCTCCTCCACTACGGTGCCTGCGCCTGTTAGAAAGCACAAATCCAGACTTGGAAGTGAAGGGATTTGTCATCAAGCCCTCAGCTTGTTAGTGGCAGGGCTGGAAAGAGAAACCAGCTAGTCATTCTTGGAGCGTTCTTTCCACCGCTCAGTGATTTCCATTCTCTCTCGCTGGTGTGACCCAAGCCTCCTGAGCTGGGCTCATGGTTCCTAGTAGATGGATTCTTGTTGTTCTGAACAGTTACAGGATGTTGGAGCAGGAGGGGGTCTTGAGTGTCATCCAGTCTGACCCCTCTGTTCTTCCCTGGAGGAAGCCAGCTTGGGGAGGCCAGAGGAGCTCCTGTCTGAGGGGGGTGGTGGGAGGGGTGGGTGATCTCTAAGGCCAAGGAGCCTCTTGCTCCTCATGCGGGTGGCACAGGGAGATTGGGTTTGCCTTATATAGTTCACAGGGTTTTGTGAGCCACCTAGATGGAAAGCACTGAACAGAGCTAAGCTCTTCTCAGAGTTACTGTTCATGAGAGGGGGGTATGTATGGTGGGTGGAGGGCTGGCCTGGACTTGAGTCCTAACTGTGTGACCCTGGGAATATAACTGAACCTCCCAGAGCCCCCAGGCAACTCCCTCAGGTTATCAGTTGTAGAACAGTAGCCTGTCTGTAGTCATATGTGCTTGGCACTCTGCCAGAAGTTGAGAATTTCCTGCCTTCCAGGAGCTTGCATTCTTTTTATTATTATTATTTTTTAATTAATTTATTTTGATTTATCAGCAATCACTACCATAAGCTTTTGAGTTCTAGAGTTTTCTCCCCCTCCTTCCCCCAAAACAGCGCACAATCTGATATAGGCTCTACATATGCATTCCTATTAAACATATTTTCACATTAGTGATGTTGTAAGGAAGAGTTAGAACCAATAGAAAGAGGAAACAAAATGGAAGAAAAAATAGCAAATAATATGCTTCGATCTGCATTCAGACTCCATTGTTCTTTCTTTGGATGTGGATAGCATTTGCCATCATGAGGCCTTTGGAGATATCTCGTCTTAGACCTTTGTATTGCTGAGAAGGGCCAAGTCTGTCAAAGTTAGTCATCACACAATGTGGCTGTTACTGTGTACAGTCTTCTCTGGTTCCGCTCACTTCACTCAGCATCAGTCCATACGAGTCTTTCCAGGTTTTTCTGAAGTCTGCCTGCTCATCATTTCTTCTAGCACAATAGTATTCCATTACATTCATATACCACAACTTGTTCAGCCATTCCCCAATTGATGGGCATCCTCTCAATTTCCAATTCTTTACCACCACAGAAAGAGCTGCTATAAATATTTTTGTGTATTTGGGTCCTTTTCCCATTTGTATAATCTGTTTGGGATACAGCCCTAGAAGTGCTATTGCTGGGTCAAATGGTATGCACATTTTTATAGCCCTTTGGGCATAGTTCTAAATTGCTCTCCAAAGTGGTTGGATCATTTCACAACTCCACCAACAATGCATTAGTGTTCCAATTTTCCCACATATTCTCCAACGTTTATCATTCTCCTGTTTTGTTATGTTGACCAATCTGGTAGGTGGGATGTGGTACCTCAGAGTTGTTTTAATTTGCATTTCTCTAATCAATAGTGATTTAGAGCATTTTTTCATATGACTATAGATGGCTTTGATTTCTTCCTCTGAGAACTGCCTGTGTATATCCTTTGACCATTTATCAATTGGAGAATGACTTGTATTCTTATAAATTTGACTCAATTCTCTATATATTTTAGAAATGAGGCCCTTATTACAGACACTGGTTGTAAAAATTCTTTCCCAATTTTCTGCTTTCCTTCTAATCTTGGTTGCATTGGCTTTGTGCAAAAACTTTTCAATTTAATGTAATCAGAATTATCCATTTTGCATTTCATAATGTTCTCTATCTCCTGTTTGGTCATGAATTCTTCTGTTCTCCATAGATCTGAAGGGTAAACAATTCCTTGCTTTCCCCGTTTGATTACAGTATCAGCCTCTATATCTAAATCATGAACCCATTTTGACTTTATTTTGGTGTATGGTGTGAGATGTTGGTCTATGCCTAGTTTCTGCCATACTCTTTCAGTTTCCCCAGCAGTTTTTGTCAAAGAATGAGTTCTTATCTCAGAGAGGAGCTTGCATTCTGATGGAGGAGGCAAAATGTATATAAATAGGTACATATCCAAGCATATATTGGTGGAAGGTAACCTTAAAAGAGAAAGCCTCGGTGGCAGGCAGTGTCTGGAAAGGCATCTTTGAGCTGAATTTCAAAGGAAGCCGAGATGAGGAAGGAGAGCATTCTGGGTATTAAGGATAGCCTTCGCAGAGGCCTGGAGATGGGAGGTGGCGTGCCCCATAGGAGGACCAGTAGACTGGCACTATTATGGCTGGGCTGAAGAGGGAGTAGAGGCAGATAATGTGGAGGAATAAAAAGGTAGGAAGGGCTCCGCTCAGGAAGAGCCTTCACTTCCAAACAAAGAAGTTTCTCTTTGGTCCCGGAGGCAATAGGAGCATATTGTTCAGTAGTGGGTAACATCATCATTGCTATGCTCCAGGATTGAGAAAAGGCCATTGGATTTGACAAGAAATGGTTGGTAACTTTGGAGAGAGCACTTTAGTGTTTGGAGAGCGTTTAGAATGTAGTGGGGGGATAGGGAGTGAAGGAATGGAGTGCTGAAGGATTTCCTGAGGAATTTAGCTGAGAAGAGGAAGAAAGCTCTAGGACACTAGCTAGCAGGGAGTGTTTCAGGTGGTGAAGATCGTTTTTTGTATCAGCTGGAAAGGAACAGATCACAGAATAAGGGTTAGCGTACATTGTGAACATTTGGCTTCAAATTGGAGGTGAGGGAGAGAGAAGAGGAGGAAGCATTCTACCAGTGCCTCTCTGTGGAGAGCTCGGCCATGGGGAGGCCTATTTGGAGACTGGAAGAGGTGAAGCTTGTGAGAGGAATGGGGGCCAGAATATGGGGGGAGACGCTCAGTGGACAGAGTCGGGGCTGAGAGGCTTGAGAGGAGAATTCTTCCGAGGAGTAGAAGGAGAGGCCAGCTGAGGTTGACTGTCGCAGACCTGGAGCAGATCCAGTGAGCGCGCTTTCCCCATGACTTCTGTCGCTGTGTTGGGCAGCACACGAGGAGCGGAGGAGGCAGACGGTGGAGTGAAACCAATGTGGGTCAAACTGTATGAGTCATAGCTAGCAGCTAGCAGAACCAGAGCTCAAACTCCTTGGGCTTTCTGACTTCCATCCACGTCCTGCCTGTAGTGGATTTAAAAGTGGAGCCTTTCTCAGGGCTAAAAAACGAGAAATCCACGTGTTGATTTTTTGTAACGTTGGGAAGGTAGGTAACGAGTCTCTGGCGAGAGATGAACCCAAATCTGTGTGAATGTTAAATAATTCCAAGCCTAAATAGGCAAAAATGGGGCTTCATGAAAACATGCTCGTGAACTGTTTACAAAGCTTGGAAGGAATGTCTTCTGCCTTGGTCCATGGAGCATCCACGTCAGTGGAGTGGTGACACCGCAGATCCTCAAGTCCTCCCTGGGTCAGCGACGCCTCGCAAAGATTAGCCGAAGGGTTATTCTACGAAGCTGCCTGCCCTGGAGTTTTCTGATTGAACCTTAACTATTTAATTTTTCAGGAATACATCTAAATCTGGGAATTTTTATCTTGATTTTGGAATTAAGTGAAGAATGTTAAATGATGACAATGATTTTTTTATTTGTGTAGGATTTGCAGTGGAATAAACATGGGAGTCAGAGTAGGGTTCAAATTGTACCTCTAGCACACACCACCATAGAAAAGTCTCTTAACCCTTTAAGTTGAATTTCTTGATTTGAAAAGCTGGGATATGAATACCTGTACCTCACAGGATAGTCTGTAAAGCCCCTTGGAAACTTTAAGGCATTGTGGAACTGCCAGCTGGTGTTATTATCTTGTTTGACCCTGGGAGGTAGGAAGTGTAAAGATTACTCTCCTTGTTTTACAGAAGAGGAAACTGAGGCCCGGCACGGGTCACAAGACTTCTAATGGCGTTGGGTCTCATGCTGTCTCCATTTCCCCACGATGTTTCTGACTTAAAATGCCCCACTAGCTTTGCGTAATCACTGTTCTCCTTGACGTTACTTTGTGTTTCATTTTCCTAATTTTTAAAAAGGTGATTGTCTGGCAGTAATTGGGCTGCTTTACGTTTCTTAGCTCATTGAAGGATGGGAAACATCCTATAAATGTGATAGATTTTCTTTCTAAGAAGGTGTGGGCGATTATGAGCAAGGGAACTGAATTGGGTAGAATGTAGACCCGAACCCCTTTAACAGCTAAGATCTCAGTGAAGGGGTCCGGGGAGAGGTTGTCTTTCCTTTTGTACTTGCATTCTAGGTCCTTCTCAAGATTTCCACAGGCCCAGTTGGGGGAAAGTAGGATCTTCTCTTGGGACTAATGCAGGGTATAACTCAGCTTAGTTAATTGCTTTGCAGAGTTACCTACAAACTTGCCATTAGATTTCCCAGCTGTCTCCACGGTTATTTCCTGGTTTTGTCTGTGGCGTTCCCTGCCCTTCTGTCAGGGATCTGTCCTCTTTGCTCGCTCGCTGGCTCGTACCACCTTTGCTCTTTGCAGCCCAGGCTTGCTGCTGGGCTGGAGGCCTCCCTTTCCAAGGTTCTCTCGCTCGCTGCCTGGGGAGGCCGGTGTCTGCTGGCATGGACCTAACCTGTTTCTCACTCACAGACTTGGGCTGGGCATCCCTCGCAGCTGGCCAGGACTGTGAGTAGTGAGTAGGCCTGCCGAGATGGGGACTGTTGGGAGGAGGTTTGGGTTAAGCTGTCCTTTTCTTCACAATTCCCCTCCAGATGTTCTTTGAAGATCACATCGACGATGCCAAGTATTGTGGGCACTTGTACGGCCTTGGTTCGGGCTCCTCCTATGTGCAGAATGGTACGGGGAATGCGTATGAAGAGGAGGCCAGCAAGCAGTCATGACATGAAATGGATGGACAGCAGGCCTTGGTGTTTGGAGCTACACATGTGCTTGTATATAGGTTTTATCTCCAGTTAAATCCCTTGGACAGTAGACAATAAGGCTTTCTCTTTTTTTACCCTGCCTTCTCAAACCGTTTTCTCTTTTGTCTTTCAGTACTAATTATGACCATTCCTTCCACAGATCCTGATAAGTAGAAGAGTCTTCAGGTTAAATTTGGCTGTATAATTAATCCATCTGTTAGCAAGCATGTGTGGCCAAGGGGAACATCCGTATCATACTCAATCTTTTGGTAAACATATCTAGTTGGTCTTAGTTTGTACCCCACACCTCTTCCCCCCATTCCCAGATTAACAAGCACTGACTGTAACTTATTGCCCTGTTTCATGTCTGTCCCTTCCAGTATGCAAGAGTTTTAGCTATTTGAGATTGTGGACCATCAATTTTGCACTTTAGAGAGTGACTCAGATCCACCATTTTAGTAGAAGTTTGGGTTTTCCTTGCTGTTAGCCTGAAAGTTGATCATTTGCCAGTTTTACACAGCACTCTCTTGTGTTGGACCCATGGAACAGAGTCTATTTACTGTGCTGGCAAAGCTCTCCCGAAAGGGAAGGAGGGGCTCCTGAAGAGTTGAGCCCCTGCTCGCTGTCCCTGGGGCTGTGGAGCCCCGCTCACCAGGCCCGTTGGGTTTGGGGTCGGTCTCTGAATGGGCTTTGGGACTGAAAAAGTGCTTGGCCCAGCTTTCCGCCTGTGTGCCAGAGCTGCCGGCCCCCAGGCACCCCCCACCCCCACCCCCGCGGTGGCTCAGCCACGCCTTTGCCTCGGTCCGCTTCCTTCCTCGCTGGCTTTTACCCTCACCCTCCCCTGTGATAGTCGTATTTACCGAGCCCTTGTTTTGGCGACTCCACAAGTCAGTAAGTCCAAAGAGAGCAAGTCACCTTAGGTATGTCTTATACCAAATTGCATTAGAAGAGATGAGATTATGCTTTTGTAGTTGCTACAAAGACAAAAACGATGAAGAGATTTGTTGTAAAACAACAGAACGACAAGACAAGTGAGAGTGAATAAAGTCACCTGAGGAGTGTAATGCTTGTTTATTTTGTGTGTATATCTTTGCAATATATTTTCTATATATTGACAGAATAACTGTGAAATACTTTCTTAGCCATGTAGACAGGAGCATGTGAGCAGGCCAGAGCATGTGAAGGAAGACTTGGGGAATGGGTAACTTAAACGCTGCTCAGAGATGACGATGGACGGCAAGTCATGGTGTGTGTGTCTGACCTGCACTTAACTCAGTCGTGTTAGCTGTTTGCCAGGTCGGCGTGTTCCCTTGTCCTTTAACATTCTTTTCTCGTTGAGTTACAACGCTGTCACTGGGTGGTCCTTCTTCAGAAAAGTTACTTGCAAAACAGAAGGTATTATTTGTTTTTAAAGCTTTTGTAAATAAAGGCTTCAAAAATGTTTTCTTACATCCATCACTTGGCTACTGGTCTTCTTTGCAAATGCCTTCGTGTGGGGGTGGATCTTCCTTTGGTATTCAGCAACACACTTCACTTCCCCTGTGAAAAAAGTGACCCAAAGCCTGCCTTCTTGGTGTCAACAGTCAACCCTCCCACGCCAGTCTGACCCTCCTTTTGTACAGGGGAGGACCGAGGCCCAAAGGCACAACATGAGCCGTCAGGAGATGGTGCTCTTGTGATGCCTGGTGTCCAGTGCTCGTTGGACTGGACTGTGTGCTCTCTGCATTTTATCACCAGATGGTTGTAACCCAGGGCTGGGGAACCTGCGGCCTCGAGGCCACATGTGGCCCTCTAGGTCTTCAAGTGCAGCCTTTGGACTGAGTCCAAGTTTGACAGAACAAATCCCCTTCACAAAAAGATGGGTTCTGTAAAACTTGGACTAGGTCAAAAGGCTGCACCCAAGGACCTGGAGGGCCACATGTGGCCTCGAGGCCGAAGGTTCCCCAGCCCTGTTGTAAACGTTTGGCCGTGGTGTTACTAGAAGGCTTTTTATATAGCTATAGCCTTCCCTTAAGGCGTTCTTACGGGTTTTCTTTACATCAGTTTTAAGAAAGGCAGACATTGGTCTTCTACTGGATGCAAATTTAATTGCTGATTATCACAGCCCATTTTGATAAGTAGGTTTACATTTGTAATCTTATTTCTGAGAAATAAGATTATTTCAACTGTCTCACGTGACATGAAGTAATCAGTTTCACGGCTGTGACGTGAGTAAGGCCCTCTTACAAACGTAACTGAGGCCCCGACAAGAAGTGGTGTGACTCACCTTGATGTCCTTAGTAAGTGGCAGACCTAGGACTTCTAACCCCAAAGTCAGTGTTCATCTCACTCTACCTTGAAAAAATGTTTTGTTTGCTCTTTGTAGGTAGACACTTGATGGGTCAGAGACACCAAAAGTGCGCATCCATCCCACCGTCAGATCGTTCCAACAAACCCTCAAGGTGAAACTGGCAGACGCACTTTGGGAGACTTATGATGCTTTCCCATATTTGGCAGGGTAAATTGACCTTTGTATAACCACGTATTAGAGTGTCCTGTGTCCCTGAAACAGATTTTTATAATGCACCCCTCTGTGGGAGAAGCTGGAATTCTAAAGACCTAGCTATCTCAAGTGAACATCTCAGAACATTTGGGGAAGCAGAGTCATAAATGAAAGGTTGCAGAATTTGGTCTTTGAGTTAGAAGAGTTGAGGCTGGTACGCTGTTTTTTGTATTACTGCCTCATTTGTAATTATTTCTTTAAATTCATTACAGTTAAGGTGGCATATGTGGCTTAAGGTCATTCTCTCTCAGGAAAATTCTCAGAGTCCTGCCTAGGTTCTCATAAAAAGGACAGAGAAGGGATTTAAGAGGCTGCCAGCAATGTGAAACAGCAGCGAAGGAAAATTTTAAGAGAATGTCCCAAACCTTCCCTCCTTGCCAGGGCTAACATCAGTTTATATCATATTCCCTTGCCAAAGCTTACACTGGATGAGGAAGACGATCAGAAGTAGTATATCGTGAAATAATGAAGTGCAGTGGGCCAAGAGCCGCTCAAACCAGAGCATCTCAAGAGATTCTGAGATTAAACAGGAAAGACAAGAGATGGCCCCCAAATGGAATAGATGGGCCAACACTTCTATAACTTCATCAGTGACAACTGAACCATCATGCTTCGAGCCCCAAGTGGCGAAATGGTGAAGTAGAAATAGTACTACATGGGACAGAGTGAGCAGCTAAAATGTGTGCATAAGTACATACAGAAGAGGAAATCTATGATAGCATAGCAGGCAGTTTTAGAAGCATTTAGGGGTCAATTGTCAGGACACAAATAAGGAAAAGTACCAAACAAATGCAGAGTTCTGGATGGTATTACTCTATCCTAAGCGGCCTAAGTCATTTTCCTAAAGCAAGGTCTGATCTGGCTGTGGCATTAGCCTGCTCAGTAAACTAATGGCCCCCTGTCCCTTCCAGGATCAAATATGAAATCTGCATTCAAATCCTTTTGCAGCCTGCCCCCATCCCACCTTTCCAGCCTTTGTACCGTTTATGTACTTCTACGTGCTCCATAATGCCAGTGACGCTAACCTCCTTGCCGTTGGAGGGTATTCCCATCTCTCACCTCACGACATTTTCTCTGGCTGTCCTCCATGTCTGGGACACTGACCCTCCTCCACTCCCACCACTGACCTCCCTGCTTCTCTCAAGTCCAAGTGGAAATCCTACCTTCTACAGGAAGCCTTCCTCAACCCTTAATTGCTGTTTTCTCTCTCTCTCTCTCTCTCTCTCTCTCTCTCACTGTCTCTCTCTCTCTTAAGTATTTCCTAATTATCCTGTCTATAGCCTGTTTGTACATAGCTGTTTGCATGGTGCCTCTGTTTGACTTGAAGCTCCTTTGAGAAGGGGTGACAGAAGGCATATCTGACTGATGGGAGATGAGGGAGAGGAGACAAAAGAGAACTCATGGCGAATGGCCTCAATTTTTTTTCCTGTAATACATGAAGAGAAGTCTCCGCTGAGAGGGTGGGGGGAAAGGGAGCCATGGGAGGTTTAAGGAGAGATGAGAGGGTCTGGAAGAACCTGGTGGAGAGTGGGGCAGAGCTGATAAGGGAGGTAAGTAGGATTGCCTCACAGCAGTGAGGGCCCAGTGGCCATCAATTTGTAGAGACCCTGTGAGAATGGTTGCATAATTTCTCCACCTTCATGCAGCAGCCCCTTTACCAGGAGTAGAGGACAAGCGGTGGGAGTGTCCAAGGCTGAGGCTGGGCTGGGCATAATAGGTGATGTGATTAGAGAGCAAGCACTGGAGAGGAGGAACCAGCCTGATGTCATGCAAGTCTAAGGGGCAGAATTGGAATCAGAATCAGGTCATTGTCTTTCCAGTATTACCCATTTAAAAACTGGCCCCTGAAATGCTTCTTGGTGACCCACTTTTGCACAGCAAGCTAATGACATTGTATTAGATGAGTCTGTCCTGAGAAAGGTCCTGGCTCTGCAGCTCTGCAGAGGGTTATTTCCTATCAATCTCAGTTGAATGAAGTGGCCTGAAGTCCCTTCTGCCTCTCCTGTTTCATAGATTCAGCGCTGGAATCTGAATGTCACGTAGCCCACCCCTGAAAAAAACCGGTGAAGCAACTGGCTTGTGCTCTCCAGGTAGTGAGTAGCACGCACAAGGTTTGAACCCAGCACCTTTGGCTCCAGAGCCAGAGTTCTTTCCCCAGCATCCTCATGAAGATCTGATGAGAATGTGTCTGAAGTACCTAGCATAGCTTGTGATTTTTGTTTTGGATTGCTGTAACAATGCTAAATAATGTAACTGGTTTCTCATTCCCAGGTTTCCTCCAAGATGGCATCAAAGGGAGAATTTGATCTCCATTTACTGGTCAAAAAAAAAAAAGCAGCATAAAAGTGCACAATAAAAGATGAATTCGAGAAATGAACGTGTCATCCCCCTTAAGTCAGAGGTTAACTGGTTGCTTTCCATTCCCCCCCCAGCTCTCTGGTGTTGTGGGGTCTGGCATGAAGAGGCCCGCCTTCTCATTCAACAGGACGGGCTTCTTTGTGAAGAGTCGAGCTCAGCCCTATAATCCTGATCAGACCCGGAAGGGGCGTCGGAAGGTGCCTAGTTAACTTGGCTTGGCCGAAGAGGAAAGAGACCCAAATGAAATGATTTGCCCTGGGTTGCACAGGAAATAACATCCAGATTTGAGATTTTAACTTCAAATCCAATGTTCCCTGCACTGCCTTTGGTGAACAAACAGGTGACCCCACTTAGGGTTTTCTTGGCAGAGATACTGGAATAGTTTGCCATTCCCTTCTCTAGCTCATTTTACAGATGAGGAAACTGAGGCAAACAGGGTGAAGTGACTCACCCAGGGTCACACAGCTAGTGAGTGTCTGAGGCTGGATTTGAACTCGGGTCTTCCTGGCTCCCGGGCCAGGGCTCTAGCCACTGCACCCCTGAGAACCGGAGATCTTTAGTCATCGATTTCCATGTCCAGGACACAGCAGAAGTGGGATTCCACCGAAGGCCCTGGGCCTTCAGTTCTTTGTCCCTTCCTCCTCCACTGAGACATCTGGCTCTCTCCAGCGGCGGGCTGATGAAGATAAATGGCTTAACAGATGTCCCCTCCCACCTCACCCCTGAGCTGCTGGTTAACAGAACCCAGACAAGATGAAAACCACAAGCCTGGGTGCCTGCCTGGTGACGTTGACTGAAGGCTTGGCAATTCCCCGTTTCTTTCTCCTGCCCATGGGCAAAACCCAAGGCAGTTTCTATCGACATAATCTCTGGCAGACAGTCGGGGTGCTGCCTGCCCTTGCCTTAAAAGTGCCCCTGAGAGAATGTGAAGGGTTGTGCCCACAGTGGCCTGGGCACCACTGCCCAGCTCTCTTCCTGGGCTCTTGGCTTTCACTCACGTTTTGGGGAATTGGGTTTAAAAAGTGGCTCCAGCCCTTTCCTTGGTCAGCAGATGCTCCAAGCCCAGTTGTGGAAAGATCCTGGTTCCAGTTCTATCTCCCAGGAGACTCCTTGGAAACCAGCCCCCAGGATGAATTTTCCCTGCTCCAGTCCATCAGCTGTGCCCGAGTCTGCTTATAAATCAGCACATACCATGTAAGCGGGACAGAAGGCAGCGGAAGCTACCCCAGCCACCATCCAGGGAGAGTTTCCATGGCCAGTGAATTTCAGCCTCCTATGTCCTGTGGTCAGCCACCTGGCCAGGAGAGTGAGCAGGGAAGGGTGGTTCTGGTTTTCCACAAGCATAGAAGGCTCACACTGACAAGTTACACAGTCAAACTACTGTGGTTAAAACTCAGTGCAAACCAATGGGGCAGCACTGGACAGAGGCAAGACCCAAGAACTCACTGCTGCCACTCATTCCAGGCTCTTTTCATCCAAATGAAGGGGAGGTGGGCAGCTTTAAAAATGGCTGTTTGTATAAAGAACAGAGCTGGGGCTGCTTCAAAGCTTGTGAAGGGTCCTGGGACTTTGTCACTTAGGTAACGTATATGGAACCATCTCAACCATGATTTTCCTTGTTACAACTCCTTTGTACTTTGCTTTAAGCCTGACAGGGCAGTTAGATGGTGCTACAGTGGATGAAGCACTAGGCCTAGAGTCAAGAAGACCTGAGTTCAAATCTGGCCTCATACATTTACTAGCTGTGTGACCCTGGGCAAGTCACTGGACCCCGTTTGCCTCAGTTTCCTCATCTGTAAAGTGAGCTGAAGAAGGAAATGGCAAACCACTCCAGTATCTTTGCCAAGAAAATCCCAAATGAGGTCATGGAGAATCAGACATGACTGAAAAATGAATGCACAACAACAGCAAAATTAAGTCTGACAACCACAAGTTTGATATCAGGATAAATTTCCTAATTAGGAGCCCTTCAAAAGTGGAAGGCTGCCTCTGAAGGTGGTGGGTCTCTTTCTGCCCTCCCCATCATGAGAGGCCTCTAAGGAAATGTTGGGGTGTTGTAAGAAGGAATTAATTTCTCGGTGTGGGCTTGGCTTGGCTGCTGACTGGACACTATTATCCCATATTCCAGAGGAGGAAACTGAGGCCCAGTGTAGGTGACAATCATGAGCTCCCACTTCATAGGCCAGGCACTGCTTCGGAAGGTCACTCTGGGAGATGCCCAAGCGTGGGTTCCTAGGATCAAAAATTTAGAGCTGGGAGGGGCCCCTCATTGTCTGGAGGAGAAAGGGCAGGCTTGCCCAGTACCACAGGGTATGAAGGCAAGAAGCTGGAATTTGAACCACATTCCTCCAAGACTCTGGCTCCTCCCACCAGGTCACCCTCCCGTGGGTGTCACTCGGGAAAAGCGTGGATAATTCTGTGGCCCTGGGGTGGGGGGCAGAAGGAGGGGATGGAGGAAGGGAGGACCGGGGAAGCCTTGGCTGGACGGCCTTCCAGTGGGTCCACACTGCAAGCTGATTTGTTGTTTGAGGTTTCTCTAGGCTGAGTCCCAACACCCACGCTGGTTCTGTTTTATTTTGTTTTGTTTTTCACTAGAATTACTGAATTAATCCCCCAAATGACGGGATTGCCGCTGAGGTGTAACCCCCTACCTGCACCCATCACCTCCTCAGCCACTCTCCGGCATTATTCTCACTCACTCTCATTATTGCTAAGAATTTTTTTTTTAAGTATCAGGAAAATTATACTTGTAGAGCCAGTTTAAAGCGCAGTTCAAGGGTCGTTTCAGTCATACCAGGAGCAGACTTGCCTGGTTAGACTTTATCGATGGCACAAGCTGCCAGCCCTCCTTGTGGGCGCTGCCGGCGGCTCCTCTCACTGACCAAGGTTGCAGAGGTTCTGAAGGAGCAGACGTTCTGCCGGGATAGGCGGCAGACACGAGAGCTGATACCTGTGAAGGAGGCAGGCGGGCTGGCCTGATAAATATTTCTGAAGAGAAAAGCCTGGTCAGTCTCTTTGTCAACAGCCCATAGTAAGAGGCCGCCTCCTCAAAGTCCAGACAAGCAAAAGCAGCAATAGAGGGGGATGGGCAGCCGAAGCGTCTTCTGATGCCTCAAGTCAGGGTCTGTCGGTGGCGTGTGTCAGGAGTGGCGTGAGGGAGAGCCACCCATGACTCCTCTCGGGGCCAGGCTGAGAACTGGCACAAGGTCGCCGAAATGGCCTGCCAGACACAGCTCTAGAACGTTCCCCTTTCAAAGGAACAGAAAGCTTATACCCCTTGGAATGAAGGTTTCACACGCATCTCAACTCCATAGTCTCCTTTTATTAATGTATCTAGTGATGATAAACTGCGTTGAGTAGTTATGCAAAATACTTGAGTGTGAAACCCAACAACAACAAAAGGTCATGGGGAAAAAGCGGTCATCCTCTTTCACAAGGACCATATTCTTCCAAAAACTGCCACTGAGTGACCGCACCACTGAATCTTGTCAGAGCAAACAGGCGCCATTGTGACCTTTGCAATATGGCCTTCCCAACCCATCACACCCACCACGTGGGACCCGCCCAGAACAGACAGCAAGTGCTAAGTGGGTGAAATCTCAATTATAGCCATAATCCTTTGTAGAAAAAACCAAAACCCTTTACACCAAAATAAAAATGAAGATGTAACATCTGCTGAGAAAAGATTTCACAGAGGAAACCCTCGTACATCAGATCAAAATCATTACTGTTTCTCAAAAGGAACATGAGAAAGAAAATGTTCCCACCCCTCCTCCCAGAAGTCCCCCTCCAAACCTCGAGGCAAGGCTGCACAGTGGGCTCTGCTAAGAGAGGGGTTCTGATGCCTTTTCTAAACTCTCCCTGCTTGAATAAAGCATCAGGCTCTCACTGGGCAGGAATGAAGCCAGAAGGGGCCCTGCGGTGAGCTCACTTTCCCCAGACCTTGCCTGGTTTTCTATGGATGGCTTTGTGTCTTTGCCGAAGCAAACACGGGCGAGAGCTCCAGGTCATCATCATTTCCTTGCTAATTGGACTCCAGGCCTATTAACAGACTGCCTACACGAAATTTCCAGGGTAAGTGCAATAAAAACTGTCATTGTAAAATGCTAACACATATAAAATTCATGGGCTCACCTCTCAAAATAGAATGCGCTAATTAATATTCTGGCTATAGTTAGTGCATACCAAGGCACAAGGGTTTCTCGGTGGGGCAGAATGCTTCCGAGTTACTTCATACAAATGCCATTTCAGTTTATTTTGAACCCAACCTCAGACCAGAAATAGAGTTTTCTGTGGGCCTCTGCATAACCCCATTATGCAACATGCAGCACGAGGATGGACTTTGCCTCACCACCACCATTTTGCTAAGACAGAAGAGGACGTCAATGCCCCTATGGGGTTATTCCTTTCTTGGCCCACAAGAGAGTCTGGGGGAAGTGCAACCTCTTGGCTGGGTTCAGTACCACCTGGAGAGACAGGTTAGAGACAAATTCAGAAAGAGGTTTAGTTGGTGGATTTCATTTAGCCTCCTGAAGGTTGTGACATCATGGTGCTGTTTTTTAGTGATTCTAGGAAGACTAAAAATGGGGAGATTAATTCTCAAGCCAATGTGACGAACGATACATCACAATGGCTCCCGTCCTCAGTTGACTTTGTCCACAGTTTAGGTTCGGATCTCCTCATTTAGACATGCCCTTTGGAGCATGGGAGGAGACAGTTGTTGGGGGAGATTCTATTTCACCGGACTCTCCAATGTCAGAACCATTTCCTGTTGGCTGAGGATGCCCCTGGGTGGGTCTGAGCCGTTCCTTCTATCTTCTCACCCAGCACAGCTGTGAGACTGGAAAGGCCTGGAAAGGGGCCCGAGAGTCAGATTCCCTCAGTTTTCAGATGAACAGCCAGAGCCCCAGAAACCTGCTCAGGGTTACCCTGGTAACAAGAGGCTGAGCTGGGAGAGGAGGAGCCCAGGCCCTCAGACTTCGTGGTAACATCCTGCTTCCCTTCCAGTGATGGCCTGGCATAAAAGTGTTTTGAATTTGAAAATCAGCTGGCCAAATTAGCTAGTTAGATGACAAATTGTGCTATCTGAACCCCTGGTGGTGAAGTCCCCTCCATGGTGAATTCTGTCCTCCAAGATTCACAAGGAAGGGAGGAGAGCTTTCTTTCCCCTCAGCTCATAACCTACCACTGACCTCTTAGCATTCAGCAGGGATTTGTGTTAGTTGAAACATTCTTTACATTTTACAAAAACTTCTGCAGTTCTGTTATGTTTCAAGCAGTGACACAGAGAAGGAACCATCTCTGTTCTTCTGTCTGAGTAGGTCTACCCAAGGAGTAAATGGAATTAACGGGCCAATCGTGGGACGTCCTTCCCTGTAGAAGCGTCTCCTCTGGTGATCACAGCATTGTGACCTCACGCTGAAACACAAGACAGAAAGCCATGTGGGTGAGTCACCTAGAACAAGCTTACCAATGCAGTCTGAGCCTTCTACCAGGCTCTCATGGATGCTGGCAAGGGCACAGAATTCTGGGATCTAGAATTGGAAGGAGCATTGGGACCAGAAGTGGTGCAGCCATGTGGTGTTGCAGTGGATAGAGTACAGGGCCGGGGGTCAGAAAGACGATCTTCTGAGTTCACATCTGGCCTCAGACACTTTACTAGCTGTGTGAACCTGGGCAAGTCACGTAACCCCGTTTGCCTCAGTTTCCTCATCTGTCGAATGAGCTGGAGAAGGAAATGGCAAACCACTCCAGTATCTTTGTCCAGAAAACCCCAAATGGGGTCACAAACAGTCAGATACAACTGAAAAACGACTGAATAACAAAGTCCAAATCTCCCATTTTACAGGTAAGGAAATAGAGGCTTTATGGACTGACCATAGACCTTATAGAACCAATGGCCTAGAGGGAATCAATCCAGTTGGGACATAGGATTGTTTTCCAGGGCCAATGGGTAAAGAAATCACTTGCTTCCATGTCCAAAGGTAAAAGAGCAGAACCTAACGCTGTATGCAGCAACATTATATGCAGACAGGGATGCCTGTCTTCCCTCTACCTCCCTAGCCTCACCTTAAGAGGGTACCAGCTAGAGGAGTGAATCCAGCAAAGAACAGAAAGGTCTGAACGTTCTCTTTCAGCTATCACAGCTGCTGGTCCAGCTTGTCCGATACTGATCCCACCCTGATCATCTGTGGCCACAGGGCAGAACGTCCCAAGGAAACCAGCTCCAAAATTGCTCCTTCAGTAGCCATGTACAAGCATGCATCCATATATTCACGTGTATATCATGTTCACTTACAGAATCTCCTTGTTTACAATTCCAATAAGACACTCCAAAAAGGGAATAAAGAAAAAGGCATGTCGATGCCCTTAGGTCAAGTCCCCTGATTTTATTTAGACTTTAGCCCTAAGGATTTTAGGGGATGGAAGGGAATAGAAAGGTATAGAGCATCTATTCTACCGGACACTCTGCTAAGCACTTCTACAAATATTATCATCTCCTTAGATCTTGATTTGGGGGATATGGCATGACATCTTCCATTTGGATGTTCAGAAAGTGTTTAATATGCTGTACGTGTCACAAAGCAGTAGATTTTTTTGAAACTGCCGCCGTCGATAGGAGCCAGCTTATTCTGATGAAAGCCAACCTTAAACGGACATCTGCTGACCAAGACGAGGGAGCTGAAGGCTGTGTGCTAGCAGAGAAGTAATGAGAGACACAAGAATGGGATTGTTTTGTGTTGTGATACAGTAGGGCACACAGTAATAGGACACATGCAGGCATCAGGCAAATGTGGAGGGATGGTGATTGCCTCATCTCTGCAGTCTTCTGTAGACTGACTCCCTATCAAACGTCAGGAAGTGTTTCAGAATGGGATGCAGCTTCAGACACGTTCCTTTGCTTATCAGGTTCTGGGAGAGTTGTTTGTTTGTTTGTTTGTTTGTTTGTTTTTACAAAAACTCACCTCGTGTGAAGAGTCTCTAGGTCTCATTTTCTATGGTCAGCCCAGGATTGCTCACACCTTGAAGGACAAAAGATACAATAGTACATTGGAAACCTTATCTTCCATGGGAGCAAGAACGTTGTCCCAGCCACCTATCGTCCCCCACAGCCCTCTCCTAATGTCCTCCTCAGGGGCTTCCTCTGGTGCCATGACCCTGGGCCTTTGGAGGCTACGCTGGTGAGCCCTTGCCCGTGCCCAGATGCCTGCTGCCTGGGAACCGGACTACTGATGTTCTGAGGAGCTGGCTCACCACCAGGCTGGCTGCAGTGGGGTTGGCTACAAGGCTCCATGGCCTTCTATTAAAATCACAGAAGTATTTCCCCCAAACAGCTTGCACAGTGTTTCAAATGCACATGGTCAATGCTCATGATATATATTTGGGATTATAATACAGAGAACACACAAAAATCCCATTAAAAGACTCTCCTTCCATTTAGCCTCTGCCTCTGATTGGATGACTCCTCCCAGAACCTTCATTTACGTTGCTCTCCAGGTTGCACTCCTGGACTCCCTAACCACATCCTGCCCCAAAAGCCTTTTGTGTGTTGTCCTCCCCACCTTAGAACGTAAGCTCCATGAGGGTAGGGGCTTTTTTCTGCTTGTATTTGTGCTCCCAGTGCCTCCTCAATCTGAAGTGACTGAATTTTGTTTCCTGTTCTGTTGTATGAAAGACAGTGAACCCCAACTTCCTCCCTCCCTTTCCGAGTATCCAGAACAAACAAATCCGTGTCACACAGGAGACCCTGAAAGGGCAGGCTGCCTGCTTCCAGGGGCGTGGCCTTGTTCTCCTTCACCCCAAGCCTTTTCACTTCCAGCTCACCTCACCTTACAACCCTCTCCTTCGCAACCAGCTTTCTGGCTGCCTTGTTGTGTTTGGTTGGCTTTTAAATTAAAGGAAAACTTTTTCAGTGAACAAAAATCTCGCTTCTTTCCCTCCCACTTGAATGAAAGAAAAATAAAACTAAAACTCTAGTAATGAAGCTGCACAGTGGAGGAAAACAAATTCCAACATCAGCCATGTCCAAACACACACACATGCAGACATACATGCATATGTGCAAACACATACGTGTACATCTAAACGCATATGCATGTATGTGTATGTGCATGTGTCTAATTCAGTGTATTTTGTCCATTGCCTCTCTGTCCTCTGGAGACACGAATGGTCATCACGCTGATCAGAGCTCTCAGTCTTTACAACGCTTCACAGTCACCTGGCTGTAGGCACTGAGTGTCCAGAATAAGGAATCTAACTGTAATGGGAGGACCGGCCAAAGAGGGCCCAGTCCTTAGAGCACCTGCCAACATGCTCTTCCTGGTGCTTCCACAGAGCATGGGCTGTTGTTCCTTGCCTACTTTCAAGCCATCACGTGGAGGCTGGTGAGCCTACTTTTCGGCTATGAGGAAATGAAGGCCTTGGGGGTGCAAAGGGGTCTTCTGGATGGCTGAGGAGCCAAAGGACTGATGGCTCAGGAAGTGCTGAGTCAGAGCTGAGTTCACCTATGAGGACTGCTAAAGTCCCTCCTTCCACCTCCTTGGTAATCTTCCCTGCTGGCTATAAGCAAGGCCAGGGCTCCCAGGTGGGGCAAGGTCGTCTTATGCCCTGTCTCCTTGCAGCCCATAACTCTTCATCTGATTCCTCACCGTGGTGGAGAAAAGGATGGCAAAGACATCTGGGACAGGGCAGAACACTTGAGAGAGATTCTCCCAGTACAGAATTTGTTTCCTGGACTGAATTAGGTGATTATTTTAAAAAGTCCCTGCTTATTGGGAGTGTCATACTCAATAAATGTTGAACTAGAATTATAACTTTATTGGTCTAGGGAACTCCTAGTGTGGAAACCCTCTCTACTGAGGGAGCATGACACATTTTCACCTTGGAGTCCTGGCGCCTAGAACGCCCAGAGCTTGTGACTGCCCTGTGGACCCGTGGTCGGTCGGTACCAAAGGCGACTCTTAAACGCAGACCTTCTTGCTCTGAGGCTAGTGCTCTATCCCTGACACCGTGCTACCTCTCCATACTTATTAAACACTACAGACTTGAGGACAAGACCTATCTTATTGTGGACATCCCTAGATCATGGCACCGGTTCTTTGCACACAGGAGGTTGCATTTACAGGCAGAAGACAAATGTTTAAAGAAAACACCTCTGAATTAGAAAGCAGGGTTAGACAGAGCTTGTGAAATAAGTGGATTTTTGGTTTTTTAAATGATTTGTGAAAAGCAAGGTTCTTCACCGCTGGAGTTGATAAGTCTCTAAATCTATGTTCACAAGGGTTTAAAAATTAATTTTCAAACATAAAGTGTTGAATTCTACTGATTAATTAAAATAGAGGCTTTCTATCCAAGACGGCCCTGGCAGTCTGCCCCAAATTTTTCGTCATGTTTCCATATTATCTCAACAAGCTAACCCTGTGGTCTAATCTACATGCACATGAGGAGTGGTTCTGTATCAGCCATGTTTCTCTCCTTATCCTTAACTGCCAAGCGCTTTCAAATGAGAACTAAGATACATTAGGAGCCCCTAAATATTTTAAGGAGATTGGTGGGGGAGGTGGGGTGGGGTAGTGGAATGGAGAGCGTTTGCCTGCTAATCTGAGTCAGCCAGCCAAAGTGAGAGAGTTCGGAGAGAGCCTTGAGGACAGAACTGAAGGAAAGGTTAGAGAATTAAATGGTTCTGCTTCATGATTTGAAAGAGAAAGTGCAAGTAAGACTCAGGTTAGAAAGAAATGCTAGCTTATTTGCCCAAAGACTGATTTCTACACTGTGACTTTTTGGAGTTAGAAGTAATTCCTAATCATGTTTAGCAAGCATTAAGTTTGGATTCATTTTAAAAAACAGAAATCCTACAAGGCGCTGGCCATCCTTGGTGCCCCAGAAGCTGTCTCAAGCTGCTCCATTGACATATACGTCCAAGAAACCAATTCTTCCCAAGTCTCTCTCACAGGAGCAGTAGCTTTCAATAAATGCCGGCAGGTACAGAGGGAGAAATCCAATTACCCCAAAGCGAGTCTAAGGCCATTCCTAAAGCAAATCACATTTGACATGCACCATCAAGTTCAACTTTTCATCTTTCAAAACAAACGAACAAAGGTTATCTTTCTTACCTACTTTGCCCTTGTCAAGATTTGTGCTGTTGTCTGTCCAAGACTGAGAGTCAGTAAGAAGGTGGCTCTGGGACTCCCTTAATGGTTTTGAAGGAAATTGGTGTCCTTCCAGGCTGTATGATAGTGAGAAGGAGGACAGAAGGGTGATGAATGGCTTGGGGCATCATGGCCTAGAGGCTGGAGCTTAGCCAGATGACTTGGATGCTCTATAGGTGTGCTAAGTGCCCAGCCTCAAATGTGGGTGAGACCAGCGCAGGCGCCTCTGATCACCGGCTCAAATGAGCAGAGGATGAACCGACCCAGTGGGGAGTAAAACAGGAGAAAGGAGTCGTCTACGTCTTCCCTTGAGGGCTGATCAAATCTGGGGAAACTGAGGAAAGCATGGTGTGGCTTCCCTGGGGCACATGGACCTTAGGAAATACAATGGCGTCTTGTCTTTGATGGACAATGGAAGAGTCCGACTTATAACTGCAGCTCACTTTCAGCAGGTCCCCCAGTGGGCAGTCAAGCGAGCTCGTTAAACAGAAAGTCACAGACCTCAGACACTCTCAAGGGGGGAATCCTGAGCTCCATCACATCAGGGTGAAGCCATGGCATTTCCCTTCCCCTTTTAATGAAAGGTCCTTGAAGCCAACACCAGGGGTTGCAGAGTGCATTTTTCTTACCTCCTCTTATAAGTCGTTATACAAATTGAGAGCTGGCATTAAAAAACAAAATACAACTCCTCCTCCACCAAAAAAAAAAAAAAAAAAATATAGCTGTCTCCCTTGACCTGCGTTTCTTCAGAAGAGAAACAACAGGTTGGTGCTCGCTCAGAGCTTTACCAGCAACCATTGGCATCCCTTATTGGCTTCTAAAATCTAAGATTTCCTTCTACCTACTTTCTACGTGAATCGTTTTTACACAGTTATTTGCGTGTTCTCTCCCTCGTTAGACTGTGCTGCTTGAAGACAGGGACTGTGTTTTTGCCTTTCTTTGTACGCCCAGTCCTTAGTACAGCGCCTTACACAGAGTAGGTTCTTAATACTTGCTGATTTACAATTTGGGAAACATACTTGACCATGAGAGTGAAGCTATAAAAGCTAGTTTTGGAATAGGGTGAAAAATGTTATAAGTGAAAACTTACTGAAATAACTTTAACACTAGAAAAGTAGGCGGGTCAATTGCACCAAGTGATGTGAGAATTGTAAAATAATTTTTTCATAATTTTTTCTATCATATACTATAATTCTTCCTGTCTGTGCAAATGCACTTTAAATACAAATAATTATGAGCAAATATTATCATTTTACTGTGAAATTAAAATTTTCATCTCACAATTTCTAGGATGTACAAAAACACTTGTGTCAATTGCCACAGTTTGGCTGTGTAAAGAATCCTTACATCCTAGTTCTACTAATCCGTATTCTCCTTCCCACTACTAGAGTTCTTTTCTAGTTAAAGTACTCACATTGAGTTCTGAATAAGTCTGATCTAGACAGCATCAGTGATGCAGCCAGTGATTCCAGTGGCTGTGGATGTCTCGGTACCCATCAGAATGGCATGCTTCAGAGGCACAGGGCATGCTGACATTATCTAGTAGAGCCACACTTCGCCCCACAAAAATTTCCTCTGGTTGGATATAAAATGAACTCCTAAACTGAATTATATTTTCTCCCTTGTGATTTCCAGCATAAAATTAGAGATGTGTTCATATTAATTAAATATGTGGCCTCAAGACAGGAAAAATCACAGTGCAGAATGTAACCAATGCTTCAAAAGCAAAGAAAGGAAGCATTCTCATTAAAACATACACATATGTAATATATAAATAAATAAATCGCAATAGTAATAATAATGATAATAGGATGTACTCCTAGGCATGCTTCCTTGTTGAGTAATGGAAGGCAAGGCATCTTCAGGAGATTTGCCATTTACTGGATAGTAGGCTACCTGGGACTAGAACCCACGTTTCCACTCCCAACCCCAGGCTTTTTGCTTTGTGAAGGGAAAGCAGCTGCTTTCAATATTAAGGTAGCAGGGAGGTAGCTCCCAGCCTCCTCTACCCACTCTCAAGGCAGTGCCTTCAAGCTGGCCTGGCTGAACGCTACAAGTACAGGGAGGGTGGAAACCCCTATTCTAGGAATAGAGCTCCAAATAGTTCTTTGGCTCCAGATGATAACAGCACGACATATAGCTTGACGTATAGCAACACCCTCTCCCCTGTGACTTTTGGTGCTCTGCCAAACATCTGGTGTAATGGCACGGCCAGCTCTGGTGCTTCAAGCCCCTCAGAGCCCAAGAGAGTTCTCAATGAAACGAACACACCGCTCCCCTCCCCCCAGCAGCTTGGCTGAGCACAGCCATACTTAACAAGTGCAGTGACCATACAGATTCACCCTTTTTTTTTTTTTTTTTTTTTTACAGAGCTGATGCGGGAAAGTGAAACGTCTAGAGCATCAGGATTTTTTTGGGGGGGGGCAGGATGGGAGGTTGGGGGGGTGCCAGTTTTAAATGTGGCCCCTGGTCCTTTTTGTTTTGGGAATCCAACCCCCTTTCCACAAAATGCAGCCAGAATTGTGGAAGCAAAGTATCAAACAATATTCTTGGATCTTGGAGTTGGAAGGGATGTCAGAAGCTGTCCTGTTCACCCCTCTCTTTTAATAAATACTACTACCACTAATGGCTAGCATTGATGTAGTATCTGCTATGGGCTAGGCACGGTGGTAAGTGCTTTGGTTTTTTTTTTTTTTACAAGTAAGATCTCATTTGATCCTCACAACCACTCTGGGAGATAGCTGATATTATTGTTTCCATTTTACAGTTGAGGAAACTGAGGCAGAGAGGCGTTAAGTGACTTGCCTATAGTCACATGGCTAACAAGTAGCAGAGGCTGGATTTGAACTCAGGCCTTCCTGACTCCAAGCCCAGTGCTCTATCCCCTGCATCATCTAGCTACCCTGGGTTATCTAGCTCCTAAGTGTTAGAGGTGGAATTTAAGCCCAAGTTTTCCTGACCCTAAGGCTCACCCTCTACCTCCTATACCTTATCACTGATTATTCTGGTTATGACTCCTCCATTTTTTCTCTTGACGGTTACAGAGGAGGAAATGAAAGACTTGCCCAAGGTACCACGTAGGCTCATAGCCCGGGAGCTGGCAAGGACCAGAAGACCATTATTCCACCCCTCTCACTTTACAGAAGGGCAAACTTGTTGAAGTTAAATGACTGCCCAAGGTCATACAGACTGTTAATGGCCAAGGCAGCATTAGAACTCAAGGCTTCTGACTCCAGAGTGAGTGCTTATTCTTTCCACTTTGACATCATGCTCAGCATGAAACATTTTAGAAATGTATCTATATGGAGGAACCACGATGGAAACTTAGTTACGAGCCAGAGATAGTGTAGCCTTCTAGCTGGCAGCCTGGGCCTTTAAGCCTCTGGCCCTGCATCCACCTTTAGTGGCGCCTCCCAGTGGTTGACTCAGGCTTGCTCTTTGTAGTCAGGGCTGCCATGTTGGGAAAGCATGGGGTTGCACGGGCTTAGGCCAAGCATCCATCCCAGTGTTGATCAGGGCAGGCTGTCTCTGGGCTGCTCTGCAGGAATGGCTCACCGCCGCTGGCCTGCTCGCCAAGGAGCCTGCTGGGAGCACCCAGTGTTTTCCATCTGCCGCCAGAGGGAGGCTCCCACCCTGCTCACACTCATAGAGGGGTGCGGAGCCACCAATCACAGGCTTTTCATCAACATGTCTTTGTGACTATCAAGAGGAAAAAATGGAAACGTCATAACCATGATAGTTAGTGATAAGGAAGCCACATGGTATAAGGCATAGAGCGTGGGACCTGGAAAAGACCTGGGTTTAAATCTCACCTCTAACACTTACTGGCAGCTAGGTGGCGCCACCGTGCACAGAGCACCGGGCCTGGAGTTCAAATCTGGCCTCAGACACTTACTAGCTGTGCAACCCTGGGCAAGTCCCTTAGCCCTGTTTGCCTCAGTTTCCTCTTCTGTAAAATGGGCCGGAGAAAGACATGGCAAACCACTGCAGGATCTTGCCAAGAAAACCTCAAATGGGGTCACGGAGAGCCAGACACAACCGAACAACAGCCACAATACTCACTAGCTAGATGACCCTGCGCAAGTCCCTCTGTCTCTCTAAGCCTCAGTTTCCTCATATGTCAAGTGTGTATCTTGGACTCGGTGGTCTCTGGGGTCCTTTCCAGCCTGGGATCCTCTGTGTGGCCTCGGACGAGCTTCTGCCCCTCCCTGGGCCTTAGTGCCCTCATCTGTAAAGTGAAGGAGCTGAGGCCTCACGGCCTCTCTTAGCTCCGGAACGAGGCTCTCGTGCATTAAAGCTCTGCCTGTGACCCAGGTGGCCAGCGCCGTTGACACTACTGTGAAGAAGGTGTCGTTCTCAAACCACCGTCCTGACCTCTTGGAGGCATTCAGCGGCCTTCTGAGGAGAGCCCCAAAGAAACACGCCAACGGGCTTGGGATGGGCAGTTACTTACTTTTTGATGGCTGGGGTCAGTCCGGCCGGAGTGGATGGCTGCTCGAGATCCTGGTTCACGAGGCAAGTGGGGAAGGAGCACCCGTCTCCAAGGCTGGAAGCAAACAGAGGGCTGGCGTCAGTGGACTGGCCAAAGGCAGCGGAACCCTCCATGCCCAAGACACTTTGTGGAGCCAGTGCATGCAGGCATCGCCCCCGGGATGGGGACAGAACACTGCCAACGTAACCCCAGATCCCAAGGACTGGTGCCTGGCCCCTGATGAGAAAAGGGCTTCACTGGAGCCTCATGGGATTACGGGTACTACGATTCTCATTGTAGAGATGAGGAAACTGAGACTCAGACTAGGGGAGTGACCAGTCCAAGGTCTTCTAGAGGATCAGAGGGCGGGAGCTGGAGAATACCTCAAAGTCCACGAGACTGAGGCCAGGGAGAGAAGTTTCTTGCCCGCAGCCACCCAGATATGAATCACCAGAGGTGAGAATTGAATACACCTCTTCTGACCACAGTCAGCTCTTCCCGCACTCTCACACTGTCTCCCATGCACATGGGAAACAATCCCAGGCCAGGTCATCCCTGCCTCACAAACAGTTCAGAAGAGCTGCACACCTGGAGAACACGGGTAATGGCCAATACTTCTTCTCGTCCCCAAACACCTGGCGCAGGTTTTTGCTGAATCCCAGGCTGAAGCCATTCTTGTCTGTTCCATGGCGAAAAACAGGACTTCTGAAAGCCTCTAGGCAAGAAGAGAAAGTGAGAGCATCAATGGGGAAAGGACCAGCCTTGCACCTGTTCAGGGAAACGTCTTTGAATGCCTTGGCTGGCCCACAAGAGGTGTGGTTAGCTCTGGCCCAAGGCTTAGGTGCTGAGGCTGTGCTGATGGGAAGGGACGGGATGTGTTTCGGATTCATATAGAAAGACAGAATTTCCCACAATGCAATTTTCAATGAAGTTGAGAGCAGCCCTCCACCCGGTGTGCCCTTGGGGCCTCCTTGTGAGAGAAGTTGCTCCAGGGTTCTCTGAGGCCCACAAGCACACAAGCTCTCCTCAGCAGACTGAGCTAGAAGGTATGGAGTTGGAAGCACATGGTCAGCTCAAAGAGGGAGGCTCAGAGCCAGGCCACCAGGTGACCAGTGTCTGTCATTTGGCCACAGGACCCATGAAACCATCTGCTGAGGCAGAGAAGGGCTGCAGTCTGCATTGGTGAATGAGCTGGGTGCGATCACCACAATGAGCCTCAAGGAAAGGACAGAAATTCATTGGTATCCTACCAATGAATCCTACCTTTCTATCCTAGAAAGCTGTTGTGATCTACAAGAAATGGTGTCACTTACCTAAGGTAGACTTGTTTTTGCTAACCAGCCAACAGTGGTAGCCAAAAAGAGAAGACAAACTGACGGAGAACATGGCAGCCGCAAAGAATAAGAACATGATGTGAAACTTGGCTTGGGTATCAGGAAGGCCATTCTAGAAAGAAAGAAAGAAAGAAAGAAAGAAAGAAAGAAAGAAAGAAAAAGAAATAATGAATGAATGAATGAAAGAACAATAAAGAAAGAATAAGAAATAAAAAAGAAAGAATCAAGGAAAGAAAGAGAAAGAAAAGAAGGGAAAAGGAAAATAGAAGGAAAGAAAAAGGAAAAGGAAAGAAAGGAAGGACAGAAGGAAGGGAAAAAAAGAAAGGGAAAAGGCATTGTGGAAAGGACACATTGAGTTTAGCTACATTGAGAAACTTGACCCAACATGTAGCTAGTTGATACTTGACTTTTAAAATTTGGAAATAATTTACATTTTCCACATTCACTTGGCACATTAATTAGAATCGATATCTATGCCCAAAGAAAGGCTATTGTAGCGATTCAAGGAAAATACTCTATTTTGTAAACCCAGGAGAATACTCTTGGGCAAAATACTCGAAATCCCAGAGAGAAGGGAGTGTGAGAGGGATCTATGAGCATGGCAGGGCATAGAAACAGAAGGTGCCCTTTCTCGTAGGATGCTAATAAAACAGTTTGATACAATTCTGGGCCTATTTGGCCAGCTGTTGTTGAGTCAGAAACATTAAAGCAATCTGATTGTCATGGCTGAATCTTGCCAGTTCGGGATTTCTCCCTGTACATTCCCTCCCCCGGTTACAGGAAACACTTACTGTCCAGAACTTGATAAAATACTGTAAATCGGTTGCAGCGATAAACAGGCAGTAGAGAAGGGAATAAGCCAAGAAAAGGAGGAAAAATTTGTAATTTGAGAATCCGACACAATTGTTCACCCTGGCAACGAAACAACAGAAAGGACATTGTGAAAATCTGGTCTTAGGGCCCTAGACGCCTTTTCTTTTTGCTCACTATAAGCATTAAAAGTGCCAGTTTGCATGGCCCAAGGCCCCTTTCTCAGCTTTCTCCGTGCTAAATCAACAGGAGACATTTATACAGAAGAGATCTATGTTCAGATCAGTGCCCTGTAAGTGTAGGGCTAGGGACTTGATCACCGGTGATTTGCTTGATGTAGGGAACTCCCAGGGGAGGACGCTCTCTCTACCAGTGCAGGTCAGCACCTCTTCTGCAGCATACGGTCTTAGAGGATTGCCTACAGAGAACCACTAAGAGATGAAGGGACTGGCCCAGGGTCACCTGGAGGCAGGATTTGAACCTGGGTCTTCTTGACTTTGAGGCCGGCTCTTTGGGCACCACGGTGTTCCGTCACCTAAAGCCTTATACTTCCTGCACTGTTACCCACGGGGAGTTGGAAGGGTCTTGCTTCTCTGTTGATCTCTGTGTTAGTGAGGCTGCCTATCACCTCACACCCATAAAGTTCTGTAAACATTTGTTCAGTCTTCAGTTGTGTCCAACTCTTCATGACCCCATTTGGGTTTGTTTGCTGTTTTTGTTTGTTTGCTTTTGTGGCAAAGATACTGGAGTGGTTTGCCATTTTCTTCTCCAGCTCATGAAACTGAGGATGAGGAAAAAACAGGGTGAAGTGACTTACCTAGGGTCACCCAGCTATTACGTGTCTGAAGCCAGATTTGAACTCTGGAGGAGGAGTCCTCCTGACTTCAGGCCTGGTGCTCTATCCACCACACCGCTTAGAATGAAGACGAATCCTCCACATCCAATCCTACAACCTCGCCTGTCTTTTGGGAAGCCTGGCCCACAGGGAAGGGAAGGGGGGCAGGGTGTGTGAGATCCATCAATGACGGCTTGCTCTGGTCTTCCAGCCAAGATTCCCACACAGAGAAGGTCTGACTAGAGGATCCTGAGGGCCCTCCCAGCTCTACTGCTGCACCCCCTGGGTGCTGGAGCAGGACATCACTGCTCCCTTTTGCCTTTGCTAAGCAAACTCTTCTTTGGGACGGGCAGAAGTGACTTCTATCCCCTTCCCCCTCCCTCTCCCACTTCCCCAGGCCTTTGTGTCAAGGGCATAGCTCTATCCTGCAGGGGAGGGGTACAACAGGTACTATCCCAGCCCTTCTGACTCCCACACAGAAGGCTGCTTGCCAAGGTAAGCACTAAGAACAGGACAGCAAGCAGTGCAAAGAACTAGCAGACCTTCTGTGATGTACCATCTCTGTGTCCTTGGCCAGGGCCTTTCCCATTTCTCAGCCTCAGTTCTCATCTGTGAAATGGAGCCACACTACAAAGTCTGGCAGGTCCCTCCCATCCATAAACACTGTGATCCTTTCAATCTTGGGCTCAGTGATTAACCTGAGAGTGGGTGGGTGTCTTTCTCAATATTCTACTGTAGTATGCTGTGGGATGAGGAGGGAGGGAACACAGGTCCCACCAAATTGGAGGAAGCCCATGAGGCTGCCATTTCAGTCTGAAGACCAGGGTCATGGATGGGTGAGGTTTTAGACTGTTGGGAGGTGCCGCAATCTGCTTCTGTGGAGGCACAGCTCACACAAAGGAAGATCCTTGCTTGTTTTTTTGTTTTGTTTTGTTTTGTTTTTTTTGCATTTGGCACAAACAGCCCTCACAAAATCTTTACAACAGACAACTGAGCAGGGAGACAGCTGGAAACTCCGTGTCATCGTGCTCTGACGTGTGAGGGGAGCCCAGGATGGTGGTCGCATTCTGGCCGTCACAGGAGAGAGGAAGGGCCTGGCTGAGTTTGAGGAGTGCCTCTGACTTCTGACTTGGGCAGGAAGCCCCCAACCCCATGTGAGGAAATGAGAAAAGCACCAGACTTCTACTAAGTGCCAGCATGCTTCTGAGAAAGGCAGAGGGGCCTGGGGGATGAGCTCCAGAGCTCTGGGGTTTCTATGTAGACACAGAGCAGTGTCAGAAACAACCCCAGAAGGCACCTGGCCTTCCACTGGACAGAACAACTGTAAAGGCAGCTTATGAGAGGCAGCTAGGTGGCACCATGATGCACAGAGCGCCTGGAGGCAGGAAGACCTGAGTTCAAATGTGATCTCAGACACTCATTAGCTGTGTGGCCCTGGGCAAGTCACTGAGCCTCAGTTTCCTCATCTGTAAAAACATGAGCCCCTGCTTCTTAGGGTCGTTGTGAGGATCAAATGATATGTGTGTGTAAAGCACTTTGCGAATCCTAAAGCCCTATAGAAACGCACACTATAATAACAACAGTAATAATATCATTACTATTATTTTAGCAATCACTGTCCATTCCTTAAGTGCTTGCTGTGGGTCAAGTATGGGGCTAAGGGCTGGGGGGACAAAGACATTGTAATGGGGGAGACAACATATGTACATTGAAAGGTCCACATATAGTGGCGGCTGGGTGGTGCAGTGGATAGAGCACCGTCCCTGAAGTCAGGAGTTCCTGAGTTCAAATCTGGCCTCAGACCAAACACTTGACACTAGCTGTGTGACCCAATTGCCTAAAAAAAGAAAAAAAAGGTCCACATATGTACAACCCAAAGACCAGGGGAGATCCCCCCACCTTGGGTCTATTCACCATCTTCCCCCACCTTGCTCTGCCCTTGAGCCAGAAAGCCCGTGAATGCCCGGCTCAAAAAGTTTTCCGGGTCTATGTCCCATCTCCCCTCCACCACCCTCCCGGCCGCTTGGCTGCTGCTGACTGCCCCCTCCATTGGCCTTGCCAGCTTGGTAACTGTGGGGCCAGAACCCAAGTGGAAGCTTCTTCTCCCCAGCCTGAGATCAGGCCTAACTCTGCCCAGGGGGGACCCCAAGGCACCAACCCTGCTTGGGTGCTCTCCTGACTGCCAAGGTCAGGAAGCTTGGGAATGTTCCCCTGAGAACAAATCCACTTCATGCTCGGAGAGATCTGTAGGACAAGAACTCGCTATTCTTGTTCTCACGCGTCATTTGGTGAACCGAGAATGCAGCGAGTACCTTTGAAAAAATGCATGAGCTTGCTTTGAGCACAGATGTCTGTTCCTTTTGAAAACTTATTGTTACATTCTGTTTCAGTAACAGAAAAATAAGCCTCCCTAGAGTCCTGCTCCAAGGCCTCATCTTGGCCCAGAGGTGACCTTGACACTACAAGGCTTTGCCAGCAGAAAGTACAAACTCTGGAAGGGCCCACCACACTGGGAGATCCTCAGGGACACACCCAGCATTGGACTAGGTTTGTTTTCTGATGACCTGCATCGATATGCGAGCGGAGGCGCATCGATAAGTGAGCAGAGGCGCATCTCTGGAGCCCACTGGCAATGAATCATTAGGGCAGCAAGCCATGAAACAAAGAAAAGCAGGAAATGGCCCCCATTCTGTGGGGCCCCATCTACTTCTGCCAAGATGGCGGCAGAGTAGCAGAGAGTACGAAGATCCTTGTCCACTGAGCAGTGAGGAACCCAACCTGTCACACTTGTCATTTTGCCAGAAGACAAAAGGAAGATGAAGAAGAATGAAAGAGTGGATGGATGACAGCTTTGCCAGAGGAGAAGCCAATAAAGGGGGAAGAAACTTGACTTTCTCATCAACCTATCAATATTTATTAAGCTGTACTAAGTGCCAGGCACAGTGCTAAGTGCCGGGATACAAAAAGAGGCAAAAGGCAATCCCTGTCCTCAAGAAACTCACGGTCTAATAAGGGCTACAAGCAAAAAGGATAAATAGGAAACAATGAAGAGAGGAAAGGCACGGGAAGGAAAGAGGCTGGAGAAGGCTTTCTGCAGAAGATGGGACTGAGAGGAAGCCAGGGAGCTTAGTGGTCGGAGCAGAAGAGAGAGAGCATTCCAGGCCTGAGGGATGGCTGGAGAAGAGAGAGACAGAGTCGGAAGACCACAAGAAGTATGATTCCACGACGCACTTGGTCATGGTGCGACGCTCATGAGAAACACTTGTTAAAAGATGGTCAGCAACATTATGTAGCTTATGCAGCAGCGCTGCTGCAGAGATTCCATGGAAGTTTTGATGAGACCCTGCCAGGGAAGTCTCCATCTGCTTGGAATGTCTGGAGTCAAAGGACCCTCTTTCAGATCTGCCTCTGGTGCTATCCATGGGACCACAGAAAAGTCCCAATGCCTCACTGGTCCTCAGTTTCATCTATAAAATGAGGAAGCTGAATTTGATGGGCCCAGCGGTCTCTCATCTAGAAGCCTGTGATCTAGGAATATTCAGTGAGTTCAGTGTAAAAGTATAGATAATGGAGGAAAACAGTGAAAAATAAGTTGAAAAATGTTGTTCAGGTTTCAGGAGTGAAAGGCTCACAGGCCAGGTAGAAGATGTGTATCTATATATCATGAATATTTTCTTTAAGACTCATGGATATTGGATATTGTGAGCACCAAATAGCATGTCAAAAGAGAAAGGAAATGGCTATCTGAACCAAGAGAAAATAACTCGTTATTGAGGTGGAAGGGATTTCCAAACTGACAGTTTGTGTATAGTCAGATCACCTACAAAAGACAGCAGTGCTAAATCAGGAGGATGAAAACAAGAAGTTGTGATGTGATAATGAGGCAGCTCTCGGCTGCTCTATGTAAAGAAGCCAAAAAACGGGTAAGAGAAGTGAGGTAACATCCTTCGTCATTTCCTGATGAGATTTCTTAACCCCCACCAATCTCCACAACAAGGGGATCAAAGGAACGTAGAAACTGCTTCAGACCTCCTTGCCCAATGGAGAGAGAGCAGCAGCTAAGACCATGTTGACTGAGAATAGAGAGCTGTCAGTAAAATCTTACAGAGGTTGGTAACAACCACGAGCAGAGTCTCCTCTCGAAACACCCAGAAGTAGCAAAGGTGAAAACGAGGCAAAGAAAACCCAACGAAAGCCCCAACTGAGCCAAGCCAAGCCATCCTGAGGGGGTGAGTCTAAGGAAGACTCTGAAAGGAGGATGACAGATAGAGGAAGGAGGGAAAAGATCTGTACAGTCTCTATAGCAAATGCTCTTTCTTCATCCGCAGCGGGACCTTCCACCTCCAGATCTCTGAGCCTCTCCCAATGCTCGTGGCTGACAGACTGACAGAGTTGGGGAGGTGCTGCAGGTGTAACTGTTTGCAGATGACTTTGGGCTGCATCTTGTCTGGGGATGCTGCTGAGTCTCCTAGCCAAGACCTGCAGTTGGCCTGCTCATCCACGAGGAGGAAGAATGGCTGTCGTCTCTACTTTGAGATAGATAGCATGGGGGGGGGGGGCATTCTCAGAGGGTCCATCAGAGCCTGTTCCGAACAAGACTGGGCAAAGAGCCCATGAGCTGGGTCAAAAACAGAGCAGGCAGAAGGGGGTGGGCTGACTTGTCTTTGGGAAATGGCCCACGGCTTGGAATGACTCAAGCACTGCCTTGCATTGCTACTAGGAATGAAGAATTTAAGTTAAAGGTCACTCAAGGGGCAAAGGGAAGGGGAGCAGTTGGTACTAACATAGCGGAAAAGGAGGTGGGCTGGTCATACAGAAAGAACAAGGGATGGCCTACAGATAGCCTGGGTGCTCTGCTGGCCTCACACATGGTGAGAGAGGGCAGGGAAGGCTACCACAACATGGTGGGTGGTTCCTCTGGAGGACTACAGAGGAAATGGAGGCAGGGGCTGCACCCGGTAAGAAGGCATGGCTGTACCACTGGGGTCACTGGTGTCCACACCAATGAGGTGACAGACCCATGGCAGGAACCGTATATCTTGTACGTGTGTATAGAGCAGCTATCTCCTGATGAAAAGCCAAATGCTGTTACAGAGTACAGTGCCTGACCAGCAGTGACATTATCAATTGTCAACAGTTAAGCCTAGTGTTCTTGGGTGTGTGTGTGTGTGTGTGTGTGTGTGTGTGTGTGCATGCATCACTCTCTGGGCTCTGCTTTCTCTGCTCTGCATCCTGTCAGAAGAGTCTTCCTATGCCTCTCTGAATTCTGCAGGTTTATCATTTGTTTTAAGTATCATGAGCCACTTAAAGAATTGCCTCTTTGCGCATCCCTTGTTCATGTGTGCCCACCTACCACTGCACTACCTTACTGCTTCTCAGTGCCAGCCACCAACATCCTGGTCAATAAGAACACGGGCTGAAGTAGGAAGTGCTTTTAGGCAGATCCAGGAGTCTGGGAGAAAATGGGGAGAGCAGCCCTACTCACCTGACTGCTGCTCTCTCTCCAGCCAGATTTCAGGACTCTGGAAAGTGAAAACTAGCCCAAGACTTCTCTTTCTTGAAATATATGGGAACAAATCCCGTGCTGAGAATAAAGCCCTGTGACTGGGCCCAGAGGAACCCTTTGGTGGTTCAAGCCCAAACATGACAACTCTTCCTATACATGAATCATCTATTTAAATTTACTTCACAAATTCAAATTCACACATGGAAGGAAGAAAGAGTCACAGATACAAGTTGTACTCACCAAGGACAGTGGTGGTCCATTTTCAAAATACATCTAATAAGGCAAAAAACCCCAAAACCCCCCCGAAACAGATGCATGGTGAAATCACAAAATCATTAAAAGGCAACACACGCACATGCCCATGCACGTGTGTGCACACACACACATTAAACACACAGCACTGGTACCTTGGGCTATGTAAGCTTGGATTTTGATGACCTGAAAAGCTGCTTAATGGTAAAAGTCCTATCAAGCAAACACATATTACCAATGGAAGCATGATCTTAAACATGGAATTGGTCCATACACCAATATTCCATTTGAGGACATTGACATTAAAAAAAACCATACCCACACATGCACATGCATGATCCCACCACATCAGACAGAAATAATGTGACATCCACAGAGTGGCTTTCAGTCTGGGACTAGTTTTTCTCATGACTGCCAGCACTAAGCAAAGTCAAGGCAAGGGTGTCTTGGCCAATGGCCTAGTGTAGTTTTAACCCATGAAAGACTATTCAAGTTTAAAACTTCAATAAGACTTGGAGACATCTTATGTATTTTCTATCACGCTAAAGACATAGTATTTATTAAGACCGTAATTTGTTGTGTCTTAGCCATGGATGGAATTGCCATGGACCATTTTTACAAGGATGGCAAGAGTTTGCTAAATTGCTACTTGTTCAGTTAAATTGTCTTTACAGAGACTATTTAAATAGATCATTTCCTTTGTGTTTCAAAGAAAGCCAGTGAAAGGTGCACTAGTCTGGGGGCTTTACCAGTAGTACAAGGCTCTGGGGGGGTCAGGAGTTGCTTCATTTTGTCTTTATATGCCCGGATCCTAATGTACTGCTTAGCACACAGTCTGTGCTTAATCATGGCATAGATTTGAGAGCTGGAAGGGCCTTCCAAGGTCTCTTTCAACCCCCTATTTTAGAGATGAGGAAGCTGAGGACAGAACTGAGTTGATATACATCACTATAACACAGGTGAACCCCACCCACTGTGGAAACTCCCAGTCACGAATTGGAAGGAAAAAAAGACAAGAAACAGAGAAAGGGAAATGCAAAGACAGCGGGGCTGAAGGTGACATTTCAACAGGCATTTAGACATTTAAACAGTTTCTGCCCATTCCCTTGAAAACTCTCAGCCCTTCTAGGGAATTTGGAAAGAGAAACGTAAAAGTCGTCTTACTTATCACAGACGGAACAGTGATGACATCGGTCGGGCTTTATGAGCTGGCATCTGTCACAATATCGGATTGCTAAGAACAGAAACATCTATTTAACCTTGAATTCAGCATTCAGTCGATCACACAATTAGTTAGTAAACCATTTTATGAAAATTTGTTTAGAAAAAGCAGCTTGTATGAGCATTCTTCCAAAATCACAACTGGCTTATTTTTTATTTTGGGGAGGGAAGGGGGGGTAGAGACAGAGACATAGAGTGACAAAGAGAGGGGAGGAAGGGAAAGGGGGAAAGAGAGGAAGGAAAGGAGAAAGAGGGGGAAGGGGAGAGAGGAGGGAGGGGGAGGGGGAAGGAGAGAGAGGGGAGAGACAGACAGAGAGAGAATTACTTACCCACAAATCATATAACAGAGCCCTGAACCTAGAGATGGAGGGAACTTTAGAGATAATCTAATCCAATGCCCTCATTTTACAGATGAGGAAACTGAGGCCTGAGGAAGTGAAGCAAGTAGCCTAAAGTTACATGGGGGTGTCAGAGTCAGGGTTTGAACCCAGGCCCTCTGATTCTAGCCTGGCCTCTGTGCTGCAGAGCCTCCAGGGAGGAAGGCTTTCCCCAAGGATGGGAACTGCTTTTTTGCATAACTGGAAGTCTCCCATGGTCAGTGGAGTGACCAGAGTCCACAGAAGGGATGCCGACATGTTGCCTTGAAGTCACATGCAGAATACAGCATCTCCTTCCAGATAAATGAGTCATGCCTTCTTGGCCACAGAGAGGACGTGGTCATTATGTGGCAATAAGGCCACCAATCATTACTGGCCACCTTGAACCCAGGAGCGATTGTGTATGGCAGCAGACCTGGAGCCTGCACGGACCCTCCTCCTCTTCCCTACCAAACTGGAAACTACACCTGGCTTCCAGCTATTGAAGGAAGGAATGCCTGCCTCCGATTCCCAGATGAGTGAGCGACCTTGGAAGGAAATTGCCATTCTGCCTTAGCAGGATGGTGGCCAGCAGCATGATACAACGGTGATGCTGGAACTGGTATCAGAGGACCTAGGCTTGAATCCTGGCTCTTCCACTCACTTATTCCCTATGGGATTTTGGCTAAGACCTTCCACCTTCCACTTTCCTCTCCTGTAAAGTGAAAAAGTTGGACCAGATGACCTTGAGCTTCCATTCCAGGTGCCACAGAATCTCCTATTCTATGACCCAATCGTGAGCCAGAAGGAATCCTAGCTCATCAAAGGGCACACAGCCCCTTATTCCTGCGGGTCATTAATTGTAAGAGAATCAAGTAGCACCATTTCCACTGGGGGGTGAAGGTGGTTGAGTCACAATAGCAAAATAATAACTCTAGTTTTCAGTCCATCCCCTCTTCTCCACTTGTTAAAACCCCATCGTCCCTCAAGGATCAGACCTAGGACCATTTCCTTCCCTGAGGCAGACAGAGGTGAAGAGTCACCCAGCTAGTAAGCAACTGAGGCTGGATTTGACCCCAAGTCTTCTGGACTCCAGGCCCGGCACTCTGTGTACTGTGGTGGCCCCAAGCTGTCTAGTGATAAGAAAGATGGTGGCTATATGAGCATGCGTCCAGCAAGGCCTTGTGTGATGGCTTGTCTTTTGGTTAAGCATATAGGTCTGAAGAGAGCAGACTCATGACCTGGGTAGTGCTGCCCACTGAGTCCATTTTTGTGGCCTGGGAGACTCCAACCACTGGGGCGACGTCCAGGCTGAGCAGAGCTGTAATTCTGTTTAGCTTGGTTAACAAAGAGACGTTTTTTCCTCCCCAAACTGAGCAGAGACATTCTTTTGTTTGCTCTGACCACAGTGGTGGTGTTGTGTTCAAGCCAACTTTGGCTGGTCTGTTGATTGCTTTTGGGGATAAGAAACAGAATCAAGGGGGGGGTGTGACTTGCCCAGGGTCACCTGCTACTGTTACTTCTTAGGACTGGTGGCTAGTTATGTCCATGTGTAAATGTAGGACATATTAGTATATATGTGCCAGCCTGTCCAAGACCTACAATTTTGCCAGTGTGGAAACTCCCTTGTTCAAATAGATTACAGCCTGTAGAGTCTATAACCAAGATAAGAGAATAGCTGGAGGGTCTGAATCTTTACGACTAGAGGTAAAGGCCTGGGAGCGGGATTGCCCTGAGGCCAGCTGGGAGAGGCCGAAACTTCACCCTTTCTCAGTCACCTCCAGCTGATGCCTGGGGCTCATGGGAGGGGGAGGAGAAAGGTTGAGCAGAATCGTTATTCAGATCCTCTGTCTGCCCACAAGCATTTAATCAAGGAGAGGATTAGGGTTAAGACAGTAATCAGGGCCCTTGCCCTCTTAGCCCTCTCTGCCGACGGGGTAGGCAACTAACTGCGTGCCAACAAGATAAGTAGGTTTTGAACTGAGCCCTGGAGGAAGCCAGGGAAGCCAGCAGCGGAGGTGAGCAGTGGGGGCAGGGGCCAGAGAGCATGCCCAGAACCGGCGGATGAAATGTGGTGCTCCAGGAAGATTGATGAGGCCGGTGTTCCTGCAGCCGAGAGTACTGTGGGGAAAGTGAGGCATCAGAAGCCCCAGAAGGTAGGAGAGGCAGGTGATGGAGGGCCCCGAGGGCCAAGCATTTTGTAGAGGCTCCTAGAGATGAGAGGGAGCCGCTGGAGTTTACTGAGTAGGGGGGTGGCATGGTCGGACCTGGGCTTTAGGAAAATCATCTTAGTGACTGATGAGGAAGGACTGGGGAGGGGAGAGACTTGGGGCAGGCAGACCCCCCCCCCCCCAGCAGCCATTGTAACAGACTCTGGAGGAGAGAGTGAAGCCGAACACCTGGCGCAGCTCTGCCTCACTTAAATCCAACTCACGGGCAAGTCAGGACATCAACCATCACATCGCAATGTCATCGATCCGCTTGGAGAAGAAAGGACAAACAGCAAAAGGTCCCGGCGTGAGGAGGTGAGGGTCTGCGCCAGAGAGGCGGCAGGCTCGGAGGACGGAAGGGAGCGGTTCGAGTGAGGTTGCAAAGGCAGTCACCAGCACTGCCAACAGCTTGGATATGCGCGGAGAGGGCGAGAGTTAGTGAGGAACCTGGGCTGACGCCTGGGTATCAAGCACTGGGGAATGGAGGAGGGCGGTTTCCCTCTCCCTGTGGAAGGACAATGAGTTCTATTTTGGGTGATGAGTTTAAGGCGTTATGGTGTTTCCAGCAGTTCGAGCTGCTTGAAAAGCAGTTAGCGACCTACAGCTGGGGTGTCAGGAGAGATTAAGAGCTCTCTCTCAGGTAAATCTGAGACTCATCTTGAAACCCATGGGAACTGATGAGATCACCAAGTGAGCAGAGAAGAGGACCCCTGACAGAGGCCGGCGTAAGCGTGATGAAGATCCAGCAAAGGAGACAGAGGACCTCGGACAGGCCATTGGCTCTGACAAATGACTTTGGAGAGAGTGGTTTTGGGGGAATGATGAGGTCAGAAGCCAGACTGCAGAAAGGCCGGAGATGGAAAGTGGGGGCACCTATGAGAGGCGACCTTCTCCAGGAGGAGAGGAAAGGGCTGCTAGCTAGCAGGGATATTTAGAGCTAGTAAGGAGGTTTTTTCGGTGGATGATGGGACATGGGTGTGTGTGTATAGGCAGGAAAGAAGCAATCAGTAATAATAATTATAATAGCATTTATAGAGCACTTACCAGGCATGGCTCTCAGCACTTTATAAATATTATCTCATTTGATCCTCATGACAATCTTTCGAGGTAGGTGCTCTTATCCTCTTTTTACAGTTGGGGAAACTGAGGGAAACAGACTTGTCCAAGGTCTTACAACTTGCATGTGTCTGAGGCCGGATCTGAATTTAGGCTGCTATCTCTACTGTACCAGCTAGCTGCCAGAAGACCGGGAGAGATTGAAGCTAAATGTGAGGGGTGGGGCAGGGAAGGACAGAGGGGCTGTCTGTTAGAGAAGACAGGATGCAATGGGATCATTTGAGCATCTAGAGGGGTTTGCCTTGGCAAGGAGAATGGTCTTTTCATGAGAGACAGGGAGGGCAGAGATGGTAGGGGAAGGCATCTGAGTGATGTGAATTGAGGATGAAGAGGAAGAAGAGGAGGGGGGAGGAGGAAGAGGGGGAGGAGGAAGAGGAAGACAGAAGAGGGAATCCTCAGCAAATGGCCTCCATTTTTTCAGTGAAATATGATGCAGCATTCTTAGGGGAGAAGGTTGTGTTTGGTGGAACCATGGGAGGTTTGATGGGAAGGTTGGGAAGAGAGGCTGTGGAGAGTGGGAGAGTGGGGCAATAGGGAGCTCCGGCCACATTTCTGAGTGGCTCTTCTCCCCTCCTGTTTCCAAAGTGTCATTTTCTCTCACTGGCCCCTCCCGGTTGGGATCAAGGCAGTGGGAGTGATCAGGGAGCTGGGCAGATGAAGGTGCCAGTCCAGCCTTTGCCCTCCCTGGGCTCCCTGTGACCCCGCTTCTGGCTCCCTAGTCCGAGCAATCCAGTTTGAGATTATCCAGTGTCTGCCACGTGTCAGTTACGGTTACTCTGCGCCATCTCCTGTTCTCCTTCGACCTTGTGGCCTCATCCTTCCCTGGGGCATAGCCTGAGATGAACCCTGAACCTGGCTCCTGCATCTGGCGCTAGGAGGGGCTGGGATTGAGATCCCCCTCTGTCCCACTCCCTCTGTCTGTCTGTTTCCTTGTCTGTACGATGGTAAAAACAGTCCTTTTAATACTTCCTTTGGAGGAATGTTTGCTTAGGGTCAAATGAGGTAATTCAGGACAGGTAAAGGGCTTTCTTTGCAAACCTTTAGTAATACTCTGAAAGTTTAGTGCTTATTATGATCATCTTCTTCCTGTGACTGTCCCTACCACTGGGGGCTCTGGGAGCCCCCCTATATTAGTAATGCCTTACCCCCCACATAACTTGGCAACTAAATGAAGCCTGACTCTGCCTGGAAATTCCCAGTTTGGTCAGGGGTGGGTGGGGTGGGAGGTGCTTAGTGCTGACTATTCCTCATCTCCCCAGGCTTTTACACATAGTAGGTGCTTCATACTGAGTTGAACTATAAATAGAAACATTGTTTCAGATCCCAACCTAAGGGATATCTAGGTCTTTTCTTCCTATAGGATAATACCCCCAGAGTCGATGGTTGGTGGCTGCCAATGGGGTGTGGAGACTGAGCACCTGCAGCAGCTCTGACCCACTTAACAGATTTATGAAATGATCTACCACTGGCAAAAAAATAAATTCACATGAATTAAAAAGCTGGGTAAATGACTGCTTCCCCCCATGCCATATGCATATGAACACAAAATTTCTGGTGCATGACTGTTGCCTTAATAAAGTAAGATTGCATCACTTTCCCACATCGAATTAAATTTCCCCTCTTGTATTGCCAAATGTGGGCCGGCTAGCCCCACTTCTAAAGAGCAGTCGCATCCCCCACAAACAGTGGAGGAGGATTTGGTGTCAGCCTCAATGAATCCAACCAGCGCAGGCAGAATGAAAGGAAGTCAGAGGGCGTATTGGCAACAGCACGTCTGACATTGCTTCACACATCATGTTGGCATTCTAGCTCGAAAGACTTAATGAAATTCCCACATGTTTGCACAATATTTAATGCTGTGTGTTCCATTAGTTTAGGTTCTTTAATCTTGTTATTTCTAACCTAAAATGATGTTCAATGTCTACAGTTCCCTTTCTCGAAGAACCCAGGATGGACCATGCCAATGCCCCTTCCCCCTAGACCCAAGCGAGCGGGGTTTACCTCCAGACATGGTCCTTGTGTAGACGGGAAGATCTCTGGCTGCGCGCTTAAGGATCTCCTGATGGGTCTCCCCTCGAGGTTCTCGTTCCAGCAGCTCTTTCTCTGCGTAGGACAGATGGAACTGGCAAATGATTATAAGGGGTAATGAGTATTGTCAAAGAAATGGCAACTCACCGGTCCCATCTGGTTTAGCTAAAAGGAAAAAAAGTCCCTAACCATATTAATAATGAAATAACAGTGTGTGTAGTATGTGTACCATGGGAGGACCTATTCTAGGCTTCATCTGGTTGTGTTTTCTTTTTATTCTTGTTGTGGAAATGAAGATGATATTAAAAAACAAGACATAATCTCATCTGGACACATAAGGATTTCTCCATTACCCTTCCCTGGTGTGGATGCTAAATTACCTCATATTCATCCCCTTAGAGAGGCCTTTGCTGCTGAAGGTTGAAAAGGGATAAAGGGAAATGACCAAGTCTTCCTCTGAAAACGTCGGGAATCCCAACAGCTCTAGTTTCTGTAAGAAGCAGTCCTAACTGACTGGGCCCAAGAGTTGGGGAATTTGTGTTCCTTCGGGGGACTCCTGAATGGACCGGACCAACCCAGGCTCCAGAGGCTCCTGAGGCCCCAGAGGCTCAGTTTCCTCATCTGTAAAATGAGCTGAAGAAGGACATGGCAAACCCGTCCAGTATCTTTGCCAAGAAAACCCCCAATGGGGTCCCAGAGTCGGAAGTGGCTGAAACAACTGCATGCCGACATGCTGCAGAGGAAGGGCCAGGACTAGAATGGATGGTCCAGGGTCAGACTGCTCTCCTCGGCTTAAGGGAGAAAGAAAGATTCCAGTCATGCCACCTGGGGCTCCATTCGTGTGGGTCTCAAACCAAAGGTGGTCACTCCTACAAATTCCACTCATTGTAAATCGGGGTAAAGGAATGCTTTTTCAATGTGTATAAACACAAAATGCATTTTGCCTCCAACTATCGCTTTAAGATTATGGATAAAGCAGAATGATGGAGTTTTCCAATGTGTGGCCTTGCCTTCTAAGTGACTTTGTTTTAATTAGAAATTACAAGTCTACTGAATTCATTCTCTGGGTATAATCCTCTTGAAAAATGGGTCGGGCGGGGACAAGGGAACTTAACCCAAGAGCAGAGAACCACAAACCTGGAGCTGGAATGGATCTCTGGGTCTACTGAGTCCATCATTTGTCAGAGAGGGAAACTGAGGCCCAGGGAAAGTTGGCCAAGATAGTAATACTAAGTGTCAGGGAAGGATTTAAACCCAGATGTCCCCTGTGTCCAGAGCTAGGGCCCTCTGGGTGATGCCTCCATGCCACTGGTTAACAAAACTCTCAGTAAAAGGGATTGAGAGGGAGGGTCTACTTTAGCTGTTTTGCCTCTTGGTTTTTTGTTCTGTATTTTTTTTTTAAGGCAGTTGGGGTTAAGTGACTTGCCCAGGGTCACACAGCTAGTAAGTGTCAAGTGTTTGGTCTGAGGCTGGATTTGAACTCAGGTCAGGTCAGGTACTCCTGACTTCAGGGCCGGTGCTCTATCCACTGCACCACCTACCTGCCCCTTGGTTTTTTGTTCTCCACAAAACCTAACTATGCTGAGAATACAGCAGGCACTCCGAATGCCTTTGGGACATGGCTTTTTAATGAGTTTGTTGGGGGCTATGTATCCCTTCTTTCCCCCACCTCCCAGAACCATCTCATGCCCAAGGATGATGTACACTGCCACAAAGTTTGAAAAGAAATTCCTTGAAAATACAGTGAAAAACTAATGATAAGGAGGAACTGCTAATCCCCCATCTCTGGGGTCTGTGCTCAGCTGGCTGTCTGGCCTCAGCCTATTCGAATCCAGGCTGCCCAGGGCTACACACCCTCTTGAATGGGTGCCACTTTGAGTCCATCATGATGAGATGATTCTAGAGACAGAGAATTCTTCTTCCCACCCTCTTAGGGCCTTTCATGGCTGCTCTGGCGCAGCTCAACCCTTTATTTCCCACCACTCCTCAGATCCCATCTACCCCCAGGCCAAGGGTCATTTAGAAAGTGAAAGCAAAGGACAACAGGACATCACAAATGCCCTTGCAGACCCGAGGCCTGAAAGAACAAGGAGGACCCGCCAAATCCTCTCCTTCCTATCTCAAAGTGTGCGCTGAAAGCTTCCATGCATTCTGATGTCACCAACCTGACAGTCGTCTCCAGCCTAGCCTACATTTCTACTTGACATGCCTTGGGTTAGGCTTCAGGCTGCTCACAAGTGAGGATCATTTCTAACTGACTCTCTTGTCTCCCCTTAGGGCCCAAGACAGTGCTATGTACTATGGACAGCTCAGAAACTTGCCAATCTGTTCTTTAGAAATGGAATCCAAAGAACCATTCAAGCAACAAGGAAGGATCACAGAACCCAAGAGTTGAAAGGGCCCTCCAATCCAACTCCCATCTGACTAAAAATCCCCTCTATGAGATCCCCCAGAAGTGAGAGAAACTGAGGGGATGGAAAAATCAAGAGACATTCAAAAAGCCTATTTAAAAACAACAAAGCCCCTACAAGTGATCATGCACCTGCCATTTTAAAATCTCCAGTGAGTGGAGAACACAAAGCATCCCGTTCCAGTCCTTTAGACTCAAGACCTAGGTTTTATCCTGGACTCCTCAGCATCTTTCATCCCCCTATATCCAAGCAGTTGCCAAGGCCTGCTGATTTCACCTCTGCAGCAGGTCAGAAGAGATGCTGACACTGCTACCCCCCTGGTGCAGGCCCTCCTCCCATCATGCCTGGACTACTGCAATGGCTGCTGGGGGGTGGGTCTGCCTGCCTCAAGTCTCTCCCCCCTCCAGTCCATCCTCCATTCAGCCACCAAAGGGATTTTCCTGAAACATTGGTCTGACTATGTTACCCCCTCTCAATACACTCCAGTGGCTCCCTGTTGCCTCCAGAAGCAAACACAAGCCCTTCATAACCTGCCCTCTCCTACCTTCCCAGTCTTACTCCCCACCACGTATTTTTCGATCCAGTGATCCTGGCCTCCTGGCTCACCCCATAACAAGACACTCCAGCTTTCAGCTCTGGGCATTTTTCTGGCTGTCCCATACCTGAGACACTCTCCCTCCTCTGCTCCTACCACTGGCCTCCCTGGCTTCCTTTAAGTCTCAACTGAAATCTCACCCTCTATAGGAAGCCTTCCCTAACCCCTCTTTTAGTGATTTCCTATTTGTCTTGTACAGAATTTGCTTTGTATATATTTGCTTGCATTTTGTCTCTCCCGTTAGACCGTAAGCTCCTTTTGCCTCTTTTTGTAACTCCAACACTTAGCACAGTGTCTTGGCACGTAGTAGGCACTTAATACATGTTTATTGAATTGAATCCCACTTTTGGATGGCTCAAATTGTTAGGAAATATTTACTGATATCAAACCTAAATTGGTTTCTTGGCAATTCCCCGACCCTCCTACCCCCATTGCTGCTGGCTCTGCCTTCTGGTGCCAAACAGATCAAAGCTACTCTCTTTTCCCCTTGACAGACCTTTGAATGCCTTCAACCAATTCTATATGGAATCTTCTCCAGTCATCAAACCTTCCTAGGGCCCTTCTGATGGATGTGCTCCAGACTTCTATGTTCTTTCTTAACATGGGGTGCCTAGAAGTGAGCTCTTGCTGTGGTTTTGATCCAAGCAAACACCATTCAGACCATCCCCTCCTTCATTTTGAGCACATACAGCCCTTCCTGATGTAGCCCAGAAGGGCATTTTTGGGTGCCATCACGTCTCTCTGTTGACTCATTTTGAGCTTAAAATCCCCAAGTCTTTTTCATAGAAATTGATTTGAACTCAGGTTTTCCTAACTCCAGGGTCAGTGCTCTGTCTACTGTGCCCCTTTAGTTGCAGATGAAGATAAACTTTTCATATACCGTAACTTTAACTTACTTCTTTTGAAGGATTCATCGGCAGCGTGAAGATGGTTTTCCAGTAAGACCAGACAAACATCGCAAAGAGCAAGTGATATACTATGAGACATACAACTGAAAGGAGAGAACCACAATTATTGTTGTGAGACATAAGTCAAAGAGTGTATCACAGCAATTGTGTTGTGTGTTTATTTAAAAATCTGTAAGTAACTCCATAGGAGAGATGATCACCCTTTCTCCACACGGGAGAGCAAGGCTGGCCTGATAGACTGAGCAAATGGCTGCATTTCAAGCCCCAAGGCACAATGTGTCCTGGTTACCCCAATTAAGCATGGCCGCATTTTGAAATGCTCCCTTGTGCGCATATGTACTCCCCAAACAAACGGTCTGCTGGGCACTGTCTAAGGAAACAACATGAACCCAGTTTTTTCATTGTGGAAATAATTTCTCTATCAGTGTGGTCGGAAAGATGATATGGTTTTTGAAAAGGACACAGCCAAGCTGTGTGGCTTCAGTTAGCCAGCCAGTCATCCAGCTTTGATTATGCTCCTGTCATGTGCCATGCACTGCATTCAATGCTGGGGATACAAATAGAGGTAGGAAGACGTTGCACAAAGTAACATAATAAACACACTCAAAAGAGACTCAGCTGTTGAGAGCTGTAACACTGGACATCAGCAGCACTGTAACCGATTGCTGGGCGAGCTTGCTTGTTTCTCTAGCAGCTCTCAGCCTTTCTCTAGGTCTGTCCATTCAAAGATAGAGCCTCTGCAATGGACTGGGGCATAAGGCACACATTTTTCTAATGCCGGTATGGGGACCATGGGTGAGGAAAAGAACGAGGAAATCCTACATTTCCCTAATCATCTGGGGCATCGCTGAATTCAGAGTCAGTCCAGTAAGGGGCGTATCTTGATCAACCCAATCAAATCAAGTCATGTAAAATGATCTTGTTTAAAATATAGGCCACCGAGTGGTTTTCAAGTTCCGCTTAAAGGAGAGCGAATTAATGCTAAAATGTGGCCAAGGGGCAACATTAGGCCAATGAGTCACAGCAGGGTGAGGGAAACCCCAGCCAGCAGTAGCCATAGCGAGGTCTAGCTCAGGCCGATACAGAACCATCAGGGCAGCGGCTGGTCCTGTTACTTACTGTCGATGGAACCTCCTGGAAGAGGACACTCCCTCTCTGCATGCAGATCGGGTTCCTTCTTTGCAACTCTCATCAAGCGATTTGCCCAGAGTCAGGTGGCCAGCAGGTGTCTGAGGCTTCATGACTTGGACCCAGGTCATTCTGACCTTCCTGAGGTTGACTCTCTACCATCTCTCTGGGCTAGGCTCCCCCTCGCTGCTAAGGGGTAGTACATTCCTGGGCTAATAATATCTCCAGTGAGAGGCCAGTCTGACAGCTGCCCACACCCTGCAACCCTGGGGCCCCTCCTTGACACAGTCACCACATCTTGGCGATTGTAGGACAGTGCATTATCCTGGAATTTAGGAGCAGAGTAAGGTCTCTCGTGCTGGCGAGGAGACCAGAAGGGCTATCCTGACTTCATGCCTAAGCAGTTTTGTTTTTGGTTTAGCACCCATGGGGCAATTTTGAAGTGTGACCTACATTCGAAGTCACTTAAGAAAACATTTACCTTGTTCTCCAATATTTTCCATTGACACTGTAGGAAAGAAAAACAGAACAATGTTGGCCATGAGTAATATGTGGCATTGATTGACTACACTATTTAATTTTTCAGAACCAAAAAGGATTGCAGGCAGAGGACCACAAAGACACTAAGACGGGATTGTAACAAATCATCCGGGTCAGAAGAAACTGTCTGTTTTAAAACACTGCCGGAAGAGGTCATCCATCCCCAAATTAAGCAATCCCAGAGTGAGAAATGACCACTAAAAAGCAGATCAGTGTCATTCTGGAGGAGAGGGAGGCCACAGAGATCCAGCCTTGGCTTTGTACCACTCAACACTGTTATCAATTCATTCAGTGAAGGGCCCTTGGAAACCATCTAATTCAATCCACAGCCATCCCAGAATTCCTTCTACAACAGCTCCAGCAAGTGCTCACCCAGCCTTTGCTTAAACATCTCTAGTAATGGAGAATTCACTGCCATCCGAGGCAGCTCATTCAACCTTTGGAAGGCAGTTTTTCCTCGCATCGAGCCCAAACCTATCCTTTGGCAACTCCCCTCTCTTCTCTTGCCTTGGTTCTGCCAAGGGGGATAAGTCTAATCCTTCTCAATCACACTAACTAGCATTACATCGTGCCTACTATGTGCCAGGCACTGTGCTAATGCTTTACAAATAGCATCTCATCTTCTACCTGAAGGTCACCGTGATGCCTGTCCTAAATCTTCTCCCCTGCTCCCTCCCATCCCCAGTTGGTGGTCTTCTCAGGAAGATTCTGCAAATGACAGTATGGGGGTACCTTTCACATATATGGCCATCGAGAGAATTATTATTAACCAAACAAAGGACAGAGGCTATCATGAAACACAAAATAGAAAATTTCACTGACATGAAATTGAAAAACTTTTGCATAAACAAAATCAATGCCATTACTATCAGAAGGGAATCACCTGATTTTGGGGGGAAAAATCTTTGTATCTAATTTCTCTGGCAGTGGTCTGAGGTCTAATACATAAGACAATGAGTCATTTCCCCAGTGGATAAGCAAACATGGGAAATGAACAAAGAGTTCTCAAAAGAAGAAATGTAAACTATTAACAATCGCTTCAATGACTGGTCCCAATCACTAGTAATAACTGAAATGCAAATCAAAATTATTCTGAGGTGTGGTTTTATGTCCAGCAAAGAGGACAAGAGATGGACATAGGCGATGCTGGAGGGCTACAGGGGTCTCACGAGGGCCACTAAGACCCCACGAGGTGTTCTGGCAGGCAGGCCATGTGCTGATTCCTAACAGATGCATGTCTTCCTGCTCTGGAATGGGGGAGCATCAGAGAGGATAGCTTTGCCAGCCCTTTGTGCATCTGATCAGTAAAAATGTCTTGGTCTGCCAAGAAGGACCTGGTTTAAACAGATTAGGCACCTGGTGATAAGAATGTGGAAGGCAGATTCTCTCCACTTCATCACACTGCTTGGGCTGAGAGTGGTTCAAGGTTCAGTCACATTTGCTGTCCGATTCCCTTGGCAAGACTGTAAAGTGTTGGCATAGACAAAAAGCTGCTTCCAAGGCAAACTCACAGTTAAAAAATCCAGCAAATGCCAAGCTGAGATGGGGGAACAAACAGACAAAAATAAAATATCCATTATGACTCTCCACAATGCTTCCTAAATATTAATGGCCCAAAGGCAAAATAAGAGATGGGGGCCAGAAGAAGGAGGCAAAATGTGCAGGTCAAGGTCATTTCTGCCTGCTTCCTGCTCTTTCCAGAGATGGAGATACAACAGCCTCTTGGGGGCAAGGAACCCAGGGAACAAGCATTTACATAGCACCTACCGTGTGCCCGGCACTGCGATAAGCACTTTACAAAGATTATCTCATTTGATCCTCACAATAAAGGAAGGTGCTGTTATCATCTCCCTTTTACAGATGAAGAAACTGAGGCCTAGAGAGGCCCATTGTCATATGTGTCTGAGACCACATTCGAACTAGGTCTTCCTGACTCCAGACCCAGCACTCTCTCTACTGGGCCACTGAGCTGCCTGGGGAGATAAATTATGCCCACCTTTGTATGTTACAAATTTGAAATCTGAGTTCTGGGGGGAAATTACTTTTTCCTCTCTCTCCTTACTTAATGCTATCACAGATTTAGAATTAGACAAGACCTTAGAAGTCATTCAAGGGACAGCTCAGTGGCACAGTGGAGTCAGGAGGACCTAAATTCAAATTCGACTTCACACACTAACTGTGGGACCCTGGGCAAGTCACTTAACCCTGATTGCTTCCAAAAAAAGTAAAAAGTCATTCAAGAGTAATCTCTGAATTTTCCATATGAGAAAACTTGCCCAGAGTTAAACAGATAGCAGGTATTTGAAGCAGGATTCGAATCCAAGTCTCTCTGACTCCCCAGTCCCCTACCCCCACAATAGCACTGTCTTTTAATCACAGGCACCTCCTTCGAGCTGCAGCAAAATGAATTCGTGTAACAAAATTGAACCTACACTGGCAGTAAGAAAGCTACTTTCAGTACAATTGTTCCTGGAAAAGCTTGACTCCATTTCCGGATTCTGCTGTCCTGCCCCGTCAGTCTGCGTTCTATAGCACACTAACATCTATACGGAGATGTCATCTTCTCAGTCTGCCGGAGTTCCACTGCAGCTCTCTGCTCTCAGTCAGCCGGGATCATGAGGAGAGGTTTTCTGTAGAAAGCAGTATGGGCTGCCTGCTCCTTTCCCATATTTTCATCAAGTTTGTGGAGAAGGAGAGAAAGTCAGCCACGGGCCAGCGGTGGGCAATGTCAGCTCAGGTGCCTCTGCGGGGAACTGCTCACGATCCTTTTCGGTCATCTCTTATGCTCTCAGATATATTGAAAATTCATCTTCTAAATAAATGCTTTCAAAATTGCATTGCTTCCAGCACAAATGCGTGCTCTCTGGGTTCTCAGACCCATTTCCACTTCCTTATATGGCACACCGGGGAACAGAGAAGGGGGGTGATTTTATTGTCACCTATGAAAAGTTTATTAGAGAAATGTTGGCAGATCTGTTTACACTGTTCTTTGCTGTCCCTCCAGTTCTGTCTACAAATGCCCTTGCGGTGATCTGGCTTCCATGGGTCTCCTGCCAAGCTCCCTGCAGGCTGGTTCTCCCTTTTGTTGATCTTCACTGCTTCGTGAGGCAATGCAGGTCATGCGGGATCTTCTCTCTGTCTCCTCTTGAAAGCTTTTCATGGCTAGACTGGTGCTGCCCCTGGCTGCAAGGTCTCCCTGCACAGCAAGAACATGAGCTGGTTTCTGCACTCTTTCAACTTCCTGGCTGTGGTGACTGCTCTATGTAAGTTCAGTATTTATAGGATATGATGACTGTCTATGTCAATATCCTTTTTGTTATCCATTTTCCAATTGGGGGCAACCAAAAGTTCTTTAATAGGTCAAGCTGGAATGTTTCACCTGCATCTAATGTCTTCTTAACATTTGCTCTTTCTTCTAACTAGTTTTGACCTTGCCCTAAAGAGTTGATGGTCTGACTGCACAGATGGTTGATTAGGAAATGGTAGTGAAAATACAACAGATTTGTATTATATGATGTACTGCAACACTCACCGTGTCCAACCATTTCTAGCTCTTTTCTTAAAGAGAGTATCATGATGTAAAGGTCTGAGGCTTCTAAATGCGAGAAAATGCTTTGAAATCTAATTTCTTAATCCTAAGCTGCATTTTCCAATGGATTTAAAAAAAAATTATCTTCCTCTAGACCCACCTTTGCCCTGAAGTGACCAAGTACTAGAGCAGCTAGGTGGCACAGTGGATGGAGCACTGGGTCCAGAGTCAAGACAGAACTGAGTTTAAATCTAGCCTCAGACACTGACTAGCTGTGTGACCCTGGGCAAGTCACTTCACCCTGTTTGCCTCATTTTCCTCATCTGTAAAATAAGCGGAAGAAGGAAATGGCAAACTACTCCAGTATCTTTGCCAAGAAAACCCTAAGTGGGGTCACAAGGAGTCTGAAATGACTGAATAACACCACCAAGTATTAATTTATATGCTGAGCTACTTATCAAAGTCTCCAGAATTTTTATACCTCCTCATTTTCTGTATCAGATCATGGCACAAGGCTGCAGTGAGCTTCCTGGTCATCTTGGAGCACTGGAAGGTCAGTTGGCCAAGAGTCCCATGTCATGATGTCAAATCAACAAGTCACCAAGCTTTTATTAAGCACTTACTTGTGCTGGGCACTCTGGGAAGGACTGAAAATATAAATTCAAGCAAAAAGACAGTTCCTGCCCTCAAGGAGCTTACATTCTTCTTTTTTCTTTTTAGGAAATTGGGGTTAAGTGACTTGCCCAGGGTCACACAGATAGTATGTGTCAAGTGTTTGGTCTGAGGCGGGATTTAAACTCAGATCCTCCTGACTACAGGGCTGGTGCTCTATCCACCGCGCCACCTAGCTGCCCCTAGGAGCTTACATTCTACCAGAAGAAGAAAACATGTAGAGGAGATTGGAAAGCAGGGGAGCTGGGGATGGTGAAGAAAGGAGTCCAGAGAATCAGGCACAGAGCCAAGGCGAATGAAGATGTTCCTGACTGGCTTCAGCTGCACCGTGAAGCCAGCTCTGCTCTTCTTTGGTTTGCCTCACTGAGGAGCGCCGCTGAGCTGTTCCTCCTCTGAGTGGCTTCTCCACTAAGTCTTCTGACTTCACTGGAAGTGAGAAAGTCAGTGGCAATAGGGTTCGGTGCCTCCAGTGTATACCACTCTGCTGATTATTTGACCAAGATCTCCCATGTAGAGTACCGAAAGTTAATGTTTATGAATGGATGGTGGCCCTTTTCCTACCATTCATCCACCAATATTGCAGAAGGGGATTATAAGATCATAGATTTAGAGTTGGAAGGGACCTTAGAGGCCACTGTGTCCAATCTCCTTATTTGACAAATGGGAAAACTGAGGCACAGAGCATTAAAGTGACTTTCTCAGGGTCACATAGGTCATAGCAGAACTGGCAGTGCCTTCAGGAGCCGAGGGCCACCCCCACATCACAA